TACGCCAGACCGCGTCTTGTCGTAACAGGCTTCGCGATGTCTCGCTGCCCCCCCCCCCCCCCCTCGGGTGCGCCCCCCCCCCCCCCCGACCCCCCTTTCTTCAAGACAGGAGTAATCTGCCTGCAGGAAACTCGATTTTTCGCCGTTTTTTAAGTGTTTTTCGGCTATAAAACTTAACCAGTTGAGCTAGGATAGTGGAATTTCGCGTGTGCCGAGCCAAGGACATACCCAAAAAGTGTGCAAAACCTCACCGAGATCGGCCGAGCCGTTCAGGAGGAGTAGTGCGGACACACAGACACACACACACAGACAGACAAGGAAAAACTTTTCAACCCCACTGGAGTAACAGGCTTCGCTGTCGCTCAGCCAATGAAGGTTCTTTGTAAATTTACGAAGAAAAATCGTAAATTTACAAAATCTGTTGTAAATTTACGAAGGGCTTCGTAAATGTACGACGGGCTTTGTTAATCTACGACGGGTCTTCGTAAATCTACGGCGGACCTTCGTAAATAAACGAAGGAAGTGTTGCAAATTTTTTTGCCGAAGGATCCGTCGTTAATTCCAGACGAATAATTACGAAGAATCTCTGTATATTAACGAAGTTTCTTTGTTTATGAACGAAGGTTCCCTGTAAAGGATCTTTGAAGATTTACGAAGGTGTTTCGTAAATTTCCATTGTAATTGGAAAATCAGCACACTCAAAATAGAAAGGTCAGACTTTTGACCGCTTAAACGGTCTTAATGAAATGTACGACCGAAAAAGGGTCATACTGAATATACTTTATAGTGTGTCACAGGTAAAGGCTGATATATCCCCAAGCTAAACAATAGCCAGTCTCGCTGATGTCTCACCTTTTTTTGGTCATACATATAAGTATGACCGTTTTTCGGTCATACATTTGTGTATGACCGTTTTTCGGTCATACTTTTTGTATCACCGAAAATCGGTCTGATGTCTCACCCTTTGAATTTCAGTGCAGAGATCTTTAAAAAAAATAACGAAGGTTTTTGTAAATATACGAAGAGCTTCGTAAATTAACGAAAGAACCGTTGGCAATTTTTTTGCCGAAGGATCCGTCGTTTATTCCGGATATTAGTTTTTGGCCCGTCCCGTTTATTTTTTGTAAAAAAATGACGGAGGGACGGGCATATAGTATGATGCATGCTGTGCGTCCGTTCGTTCGTCCGAGGACTTCCCGTGGTCCGATCTTGACCAAATTTGGTATGCAGCCTCCTTGGGTCACCCTAAGAACCGCCCGGTGGCAGCAAATCCGATCCGAGCCCTGGGGGCGCTGCTGCACTCCAAATACAGTGGCAAGTTTCCTCGCCACTGGAGTGGCGTCTTTTCCAAAGCGCCAAAATTTGGCGTTGTCATCCCTGGTTTCCGGATTCCATGCCAAATTTTGGCGTTCCACAGAGAGCGCCAAAATTTGGCGTTCCATTTCCCAGAGCACCACAGACCAGAATGCCAAAAATTGGCGCTGCAAAAGAAATGCAATAATTTGGGTTGGAAAGCGATACCCATTCACAGAAAAATAAATGTGCATACAATAGTTTTCAGTGCTTAGGATCCCCAGTTCAAATCACAGCAATTATACTATGAAAAGTAGAACTGGACCAGTAAAATACAAGACCTGCATTTGTATTTTCAGGTTACGTGTCAATGCCGCTGACCAACTATTGAATCACTTCGGTTTGGCCAGCGATTCCTGAGACACTTGGAAAATGGTACTCACATCAACACAAAAAGCTGGATATCACTGAGTCACTTTCTCTTGATAAAGGGTTGACACAGCAAGGGGTCTCAGTCCATTCTCAAATCAGGAAGGCTTGAGCTAGCCTCAGAGCCCTAGCCTGGCCGTGCCGCATCACACTACTCCCTCTTCAAAATCTTCCTCAGAACAACACTTGAATAGTTTTGAAATGGCCCGAGAGCACTCAGGCCTTTCGAAAGTACTGCGACACGATAAAACATGACTGACACACACTATCGTTGACCGTGGCGAGACGAAATGCACACAAAAGTAACAATTTGAATGTTTCGTTTGTCTAAGAGGAGTAGCCATGTTTACTATTTTTGGTGTTTTGCTTTTGTTGATTGCTTATGCGCCCTAACCTGTTGAGTGCGAATAAAACGTGGAGGGCGAATAACATAATGCGTGCGAGTAACATGTTATTCGCCCTCCACGTTTTATTCGCACTCAACAGGTTAGGGCGCATAAGCAATCAACAAAAGCAAAACACCAAAAATAGTAAACATGGCTACTCCTCTTAGACAAACGAAACATTCAAATTGTTACTTTTGTGTGCATTTCGTCTCGCCACGGTCAACGATAGTGTGTGTCAGTCATGTTTTATCGTGTCGCAGTACTTTCGAAAGGCCTGAGTGCTCTCGGGCCATTTCAAAACTATTCAAGTGTTGTTCTGAGGAAGATTTTGAAGAGGGAGTAGTGTGATGCGGCACGGCCAGGCTAGGGCTCTGAGGCTAGCTCAAGCCTTCCTGATTTGAGAATGGACTGAGACCCCTTGCTGTGTCAACCCTTTATCAAGAGAAAGTGACTCAGTGATATCCAGCTTTTTGTGTTGATGTGAGTACCATTTTCCAAGTGTCTCAGGAATCGCTGGCCAAACCGAAGTGATTCAATAGTTGGTCAGCGGCATTGACACGTAACCTGAAAATACAAATGCAGGTCTTGTATTTTACTGGTCCAGTTCTACTTTTCATAGTATAATTGCTGTGATTTGAACTGGGGATCCTAAGCACTGAAAACTATTGTATGCACATTTATTTTTCTGTGAATGGGTATCGCTTTCCAACCCAAATTATTGCATTTCTTTTGCAGCGCCAATTTTTGGCGTTCTGGTCTGTGGTGCTTTGAGGAATGGAACGCCAAATTTTGGCGCTCTCTGTGGAACGCCAAAATTTGGCATGGAATCCGGAAACCAGGGATGACAACACCAAATTTTGGCGCCTTGGAAAAGACGCCACTCCAGTGGCGAGGAAACTTGCCACTGGATTTGGAGTGTGCAGGTGCATCATGGTCTACATGGGGTCGAGGAGGATTTCGGCAACGGATACAGCTAGCAGGGCATGTAGGGGTATTTTTGGAATCGGGGCGACGAGACAAAACCAATGGTGCCACTTTCGAACGAATCGGAGAAGTTCGGACCCGGGTTCAAATCCCAGTGGGGTATATTTTAAACTTTCTTTTCATTCGAGTTTCTGCATTGTTCCTTATGTTTTTGAGGGCGCTGATGACGAAAATAACATATATTTTGACCCTAGACCCTGGTTTAAAGTCATCAGGGTTAAACAAAGGCGAAATTCACACATTTGTTAATGTACGGGACGGGCCAAAGTTGCCGATGTATATCGCTACTTTTCCTGTTATTACAGTGTAAATTTGACTAATTTAGCGTAAAAATGTCGCTTTCTGTTTATTTATGGTAAAAGTTGTTTGCTTAGTTCTAGCTCATGTTTCTTCTTTCTAGTCATAAAAAAAGAAGAAAAATGGTGGTAGGCCAAGTTTTGTACATTGCCTGGTTTGGCCTACTCGAGCTATTTTGTCAAATTCATCGGAACTCTCATACCCAAAATACTCCACCTTGGATTTGACCCTGGTACGTCTCATTTCACTTCTTTTACTCTAATAAACAATTGCTTTATAGTCCCTAGCACCAACAATTCCACATAAGCCAGAAAAATCAAAAACACTTTTTTCAATACTTTGACCTATTTTGGGCGCTTTTTTAAGATTAGGGCTTCTACATGATCTTGGGCGACAGGAAAGATCCTCCCTGCCTTCAATTTAGATAGTATCAACACAAACAAAGAGACCCAAACTCAAGGTGCACTGAAAATTTTAAAGAAAATTGTTTCGAGCAAATTTTGCAAGTTAACGAGGGATGTGAGGAATTTAAAGTGGAGGAAAATGTAATGCTTCAGCGAAAAGTGGATTTGTGGTTTATTAGTTAGCTTTCTCTAGTAGGTTTGGTCCCCTTTTAACCGTGAGAATGTCCCTCCTTGATAATCAGTGTTAAAACCCTGTTTTGGTATGGGGTTGTTGGACTTACGATTTCAACGCATTAACAAAGTAATGATCCATGATCCATTTATTTAGGTTGTTTGCAACGTGAAAGTTCAACCGCTTAGTCTCAATAACTGAGCCTCATTCCATTTGGTTTGTAAATTTCTGAGACCAACCGGTTGACTTAAGACTAAGGGGCTACGCTTATACGTTGCAAACAACCTAATTAAATGGACCATTACTTTGTTAATGCGAAGAAATTGCAAGTCCAACAACCCTATACCAAATCTGGTTATAGACACTGATAGTCACGAAAGAACATTCTCATGGTTAAAAGATCACCAAACCTACTAAAGAAAGCTAACTAATAAACCACAAATCTACTTTTGGCTGTAGCATTACATTTTCCTCCGATTTAGATTCCTCACACCCCTCGTAATCTTGCAAAATTTGCTCGAAACAATTTCCTTTTAGAAGCCCTAATCTTGACAAAAGCGCTCAAAATAGGTCAGAGTAGAAAATTGAAAAATTGTGTTTTTGATTTTTCTGGCTTATATGGAATTGTTGCACTGCAAACAGAGGTGTGTTATTCACTGTGTTATGACACAGCTGTAACGTGTTAAGTGTGTTGCATTGACACGTTTCGAGCAATACACACACAAATCGTGTTATTTTTTAACACGGATGTGACGGACACGCTATAAACGTGTCAATTTTTGGCACGGATGGGGAAGACACAGCGCTGCCGTGTTCTGCTATGACTTAGAGGATTTGGTGGACTCTGCCATAATTGAGAAACTTCTCAAAGTAGCATAAAAACAAAATTGTTGGATCAGAATTTATTTAAAAACAAAATCCAAATAGATCATTGGCGGAAGTTTAAAACAATATAGAAATAAAATTATTAATTTATTTAATAATACAAACAAAATTATTTACATTTAAAAATAATAAAATCATTCACTTATAAATTCAGCCCTAAAAAAGTTGAACAAGACAATGTATTTACATCTATTTAAGTGAAAGACGGAAAGAGGAGATGGGAGTAACAAGTTGTCAACACTTAAAATGTCTTCATTTAAGTTGCTATGAGGGGAAACTTTATAGGCGTTTAGATTGCCAAAGTACCCCAATGTTACAAGCGGTGAGTACAATAGAAGAATAATTTCGTTGTAAACATAGATATGTTTTACAACGCCAAAAATTGGAAGATCATCTTCCTCACATGACACTAAAATAATTGAGCCAGACATGAAAGTAGTTCCATGAACTGTTACCTCTGGCGACACCATGACCTCACAAGTCTCTCTATTTACAAAGGGTAACATTCTGAACACAGTGTCTCTGAATTCAAGGTCAAGAAGTTTGATTGTATGACCCTCCTTGATATCGTGACCCGAGTAAAGAAAAGAAGATGAGTACACACCTGGGCCAGAGCTCAGCTCCGAGCACCTCAGACATTCATAACGATAAGCAAAAGTCCAAGGCAAGTTCTTAACATTCCTTAGTACTCGCATCAATCCCTTAAACCATGCATGGCATGCTTCAAACCTCATACAATATTGCTGTCTTGGTGGGCCAAATAATAAAATTTGATTTATTATGTGAATTAGAAAATGAAATTTATGTACCATTTGTTCAGGATACAATGCTTTAAAATTTGACATAAACGACTCAATAGCAAAGGCCAAGAGATGAAGTTGTGCACGAGGGATTACAAATGCGTAACACATAGTAGTAATTTGAAGAAGCTTTGTGTGGCACAACAGGCGCTCCTTGGCTTCAATCTGAAGATTGTTATCATCACATTTAAGATCTCCAAGAACAAATGGAAGAACATATGCTAAACATAACATCTGGGCTGCAGACTGTCGCAGCGAATTGTCTAAGTGATCACTGTGGATGTCACTCGGCTTGTCACGATGCAGGTGTCCATAATCAAAATGTTGCAGTTTACGATTCAAGATGTCTAGTGAAATGAAATGATTACCACACAAAAATTTTAGAAACACTCTCATTTCTACTTCCAGAACTCCCTCCGCTATTACATGCATAATGTCTTGGGGAAAACATTTAGTAACATCAAACGCAGCCAAGCCCATAAACACACTACCTTCATTAATGCCATAATGTCTAGACCAAAAAAGTTTGGTCGCCTTTGTCACAGTTCTGTCTTCCACTGCTGCAACATGGTCTGTGTGTGACACCACATCCCTTAGATGAAAGTACTCCTCCCTAAAATACATCCTCCAACGGTCTTGGTCTGTGTGACATCTACGGCACATTCGAATAGTTTTAGTCACAGATTTCTTAAAGCCTCCAAGCAGTGCAGCAGCAGGAGTGTCAGCAGCAGCAAATATTACAGAGCCTTTGTAATTCTTTTCAACATTATTAACAGTGATGGTGATGCCCTCTGTTTCCAAGACTTTAATATCTTCTATAAATTCAGCCAAAATTTTCTTGATCCCATACTTTACAATGTGACAGTACTTTGCTACCATCAGTAAATTATGAGCTTGTAGCGTGGATCTATATTCAGGATAAATATTAGCCAACACCCAATAAAACATTCCAAGTTTGTGAGATTTTGAACCCAAAGGGTTATCAACTTCCATTTCATCATAATAAAAAATAATTGCAAGGGAATTGACATGTTGACTGAATATAGCACTATTTTTATAATAAAGACCATCAAGAATTGTTTTAAGGGCATCCCTTGACAGTTTGGGATTGTCTACACAAGATCGCACTTGGGGATTTTGAAGCAATCTTTTTAAACACTGGAGGAACGGAATGGAATATGCACAGTGAATCGTTCGAACTAATTTAGTGGTAGGTTTCCTTTTCCAACGCCAGCCTTTACCCACCTTGACCATTTTTGGCATAATCATACCCAAAGACGAGACCAAAAAACTATCTAGCATAGTTTTTGTCGATACATGTGAAAACACAGATGAGGCTGGAAACTCCTCAAGTAATTCTTGTACTCTGTTGACATGAATCAAGTTTGTGTTGGGGTTAGCTGCCTCCTGGATCTGGCTCTGAAAACAAAATATAATATTTATTTAATGCAGAGATAGAACATAATTTAACTTCACACAAGAAAGAACTAGCTTACCAGAATGAATGAGGCATATTCTTGGATAAGATGTTCCGAACCTGATAAAACCTTCAGCATTGCAACATTTGATGTTCGGTACTTGTCCCTTATCATAAGGAGAAATTTAACCGCATGCCACTGGACCTGGTCCAACCCAATGAGTTCTTGCACGTATTCTGAAACACAATTTAAATTTGTTGTTTAGTCCAAATAAGGAAAATATGTGATAAAGAGTAGGCATCATTTAATTAACAGATTCTTTACCTGGAGCGTCATCCGGCCTGTTGTCAATTTGAATTTGGTCACCCAGATCACCATTGTCTCCAAGATTGATGTCAGCATTTTGGATTGGATCCTCGTGTGCTGCTCCTCGGTGCTTTCTTTTCATATGTTTCTTGAAACTGTCCCAATTGCTGTATGTTGCACGACATCCTTCGCTTGCACAGGTCACATTAAAATGTGGATCATACCGATGTGTTCGAACATAATGATTCATTAACTGGGCTTGACTTAAACTTTTGAAGTGACACATGTTGCATTTTATGCGATTTCTGAACATAACTGAAGGCCTTCTGCACTATTCCTTGAATTTCAAAAAAGGTTGTTGATGTTTACTCAAGAAAACCTAACCCTACACTCGCCGCATGCTCAAATCCGGTACTACCAACGGAGGAAAACAGAAAAAAAATGGGTGCATTCTAATACTTGTTCTGTTTCAAAAGAATCCAATCAAATTTGGCGATTCTAAAACAATAAAATTAAAACAAAGATCCCCTTTCCTAAAAAAATTGTCAGTCTTATTTAAAAATTAATTTTGACCATTGTGAGAACGCCGTTGGCACTACCGGTTGACGCATTTTTGTTCTTCTTGGTCCGGGATAAAATAGGCTGTAATTTTTGAACATGTGTGATTTTGAAGTTTTTAACTTACTGACGTTATTCTCTGTCCGGATTTGTGATCTGTGCTGGCGGCCATGTCGCTGAAGATAAAAGAAGTTTATCTTAAACTTGGTAGTGAGCGCAACAAGTGCGTCAAGTTTCAAAGTGGTGCCGGTACTAGTGATGTCGACAGTCTGCGTCTGGCCTTAGGCAAGGCTAAAGAAACGGACGCTGATCTCTGCAGACGAATGGATGGATGCACCGTCGTTTTCCAGAAATTGAAAATCAAGAAGTCTACGCAGGAGAAGGTGCGGGTTGTTTTGACGATTTGGAAGATATCGAGGATGAAAGTGATCTCGTGCCAATCTTCTGCCCGATTCTAAACTCTCCCAACATGGATGGGCCTCTTGTCATTGGTACCGGAGAAACAACTCTACAAGTGCAGCCTGATGGCTCTTGTGTGATTAAAAATGGACCGTGGGCACCCCGTCGTCACCTCAAGATCATTCATCGGCCGACTGCTTGGGTTTAGACAGCTCTTGTTCCCCTTCAGTGAATAGCATTGTTCGTCCTAAAAGGGGCCGGAAAGATCAGGTTAGTACTCTTGGGTCTTTGACTTGCTTCTAAAGTCTTTTTATACCTGGACTCAAATTATCATTATATTAGATTATGAAACAAACTTTTTTTGTCTTGTCTGCAGAACTGTGCTTTGATGACTTTGCCTGCTTTCCCTTCAAACCTGAAGGCGATGATTGGCAAAGCAAACAGTTGCATGGAGAAATTTATCGCCCACTACGGTCATTACCTAAAAACTGTAACGGAAGACTTGATATCGAAGGCTGATTACAAAATTTTCTCCCTGACAATAATTAAAGCCCATCCTGAGCTGTCGGATCCAACGAATGTAGAAAACCCTAATGTAAGTTCATGGTTTATTTTTCATGATGTATTTTAGGCATCATGCGCATTCACTGTCAGACAAACCTTACTCTTCTTTTCTAGCATCTGGTGAAAGACATTTAAGCATGTTCGTACGCAATGCTCGCCGCAAGGACAAGTTTGTTCCTTTAAGTCTGACTGATGACCATGAAGAGCCAGCAAGGAAAAAGCAACGCAAGTTCATCATGCCGTCTAAAAGGTGAATAGATGAGTGATGCGGCCAGCATATCTTAGCCTCCTCTTTATATCAATTTTTCCCATTTCTTTTCTTTTTCCATTTACAGTGTGACATCACGGACGGAGGCAGAAGCTTCAGAAATGAACAAGCTTCAGGAAGCTCTAAAGGGAATCGGTCCTAATGTTGGTGCCACTACTCATCACACAAGGCTCATCAGAGAAACGTTTGTTCCAAGACGGGAATGGATTTCTCATCTGCCACCAACTCTAGTCCAAATTTTAAATTTTTCATGAATACCCACACTTACAGAAGGTGGACCTTGTAAGTTAATCATTAAACTTTATTAAAAATGTTTATAAATGAACTCTTAAGAAAATTTTTTTTATTTTCAGATCTGCTATGAGTTTAGTCTCATGAGGAAGAAGGACGTTTTATCTCTTCAGTCTGACTTGGGTGATGCTGTTCAGAGCATTGCCAACTTCATCTCGCTACCATCTCGCACGGAGAGGGAGAGGGCAGACTTTTTTGTAAACTGTACAATGACGTCAAGCCAAAGAATGTCTCGAAGAAGCTGCCCCCCTGCTTCTCAATTCAACAGGTAATTTTTAAATTTAAATTATTTTATTAGTTTATCTCTTTTTTTGAAAGCTGTCTCTAACTCTTAATTTTATATTTTCAGTGTCAAGGTGATCCTGATGTACACCTCAAGTCAGAAGCCGGTGAGGGAGCAAAACTGGTGTTTTTTTTTTACACTGAAGACAAACTGGGAGCTGCGTTTATTGTTGGTGACACACTTGCTATGCCTGTTAACAACCCCACTGTCTGTGGCTCTCTCCTGGCACTTCTTGCGTGTTATCATGCTTGGGACCTAACTTATCCTCCAGCATTCAAGTGTGTCCTTCTGATCTTTGACGTTCATGGTCTCGGTACTATTACGAATGATCTTAATGGGGCCTTCAAAAAAATTTAATATTGATTATTCTCGATTCAAACTTTCTCAGACTTTCTAAAATTTCTATGTAATGAAGAATTAAATTTTAAAATTTTAATTGATATCTTCGTATTTGACGACATGAGTTTTAACTATCTCTCTCTTCATAAGTACTCTATAAGAATTTTGTATAATTATTGGATTTTTTCATTTTATGTTTTATAATTATGATCTCTTGATCTCTTAATCTATTTATCTCTTGATCTTGACAAGAATTTTGTGATGTATAAAATGTGGTCTGAATGCATGCTGTGCGAGTAAAAAGCTTCAATACTATTTTGTACCGTTTCAGTTTCGAATTCCCCCCAATCCTCTATCCATAACACGGCAGAGCTGTGTCCTTGCACACTAGAAACGTGTTATGTGAACACTTTATAGACGTGTTTGTCAAACACGCTTCTTTCCGTGTCAAAAGTGGGGACGAGCTTGACACACGCAAAGTGTGTTATTTTAACACACCTCTGTTTGCAGTGTGGTGCTAGGGACTATAGCAATTGTTTATTAGAGTAAAAGAAGTGAAATGAGACGTACCAGGGTCAAATCCAAGGTGGAGTATTTTGGGTATGAGAGTTTCGATGAATTCGACAAAATTGCTCGAGTAGGCCAAATCAGGCAACGTACAAAACTTGGCCTACCACCATTTTTCTCCTTTTTTGTGACTGGAAAGAAGAAACATGAGCCAGAACTAAGCGAACAACTTTTACCATCAAAAAATCAGAAAGCGACATTTTTACGCTAAATTAGTCAAATTTAGAAAAATGCAAATATCTCAGGTTCTATTTGAGCTAGCCAACTTTCCTTTAATGGTTGATAGGTCCGTCCTAGTGGTACCTATTGAACCCACAAAGTTTGAACCGAATCCGTGACCCAATCCCAGATCTCGGTCCACCTTGGTGTGGAGTTACTCAAGGTAGGTTTACGCCAGACCGCGTCTTGTCGTAACAGGCTTCGCGATGTCTCGCTGCCTGTTCCTCCAATCCGCGCCTGTGGTACCTAAGGGAGTATGGGGCGATTTGTAACAGATTTCGGAACTCGCTATACAAAATTAAGAACATTCTGCATATCGGTGTCAAACTTGTGCCAGTTGAGCAGTCTGGGCCCCTTTATCTAGACTGTGCAGCTCCATTTGGGTCAATCTGGAGTCCGTAATCTTTGAAATCTAAGACGTTTTTCAAACCCTTGCATGCTGTTACGAATCGCCCCAGCATGGGGCGATTTGTAACACCATGGGGCTTTTCATAAAATCCTCCACATTAAATGAAACGTCGTCGGGAATGTTTCTCCTCCACCATTGTTCTTCGGGTGTCCTGCAAAGTCTAAAAATCTACATTACAAGCTGTCGTTGACCGCCTCCGCATTAACTGATCGGCTATGCCAATCCTAACCTCACTTTTTTCAATTTTAGATGAAAGAAGAGAATAAATCCGTTTTAAAAATGCATTTCGAGCTGTGTAAATAAATTGGAATAAGGCACCCGATGTTTCGAAAAAAAAATTCAAGCTTTTAAATTGCTAAAACTACTTAAATTCTTTTTTTTTATAGGGGTCTGTTACGATTCACCCCAAATGCCTGTTACGCAAGAAATACGCCCCAAACTATCACTGGACAAATTAAAAGCAACTTATCCCACGGGGTTACATTGAAAAGGGGGTCACGCTTCAAGGCCACAACGGTGCTTCGATGGTGATTCGTACCGGGGGAGCCTCAGACAGAAACTTCCTAGGACTCAAAATAAAAGTTTTTTCCTGTTTGCCGAAATTTTGGTGTACCCTATTTTCAGACCCCTCCAAAACTATACCTGAGCACCGATCACATCCGCTTCGATTGTTCAAGGACCCTGTACTTGAAGCGAAAGAGGGGCCATACTCAGATTTTCCTCTGCTCCCTCCACTTAAACGCATTTGTTACGAATCGCCCCTGTTACAAATCGCCCCATACTCCCTTACCTTGGCCTGCGGCGCTAGCCTGCCTTCGGCAGGCATTGGCTTCTCCATCGTCGGTTACTTCTTACTTCTTGCATGCTGGGGGGCTCGGCCCCCCCGACCCCCCCTTTCTTCGAGATAGAGTTGTCTCATCTACAGATAACACGATCTTGACCCTTGTAACTTTTTAACTTGTCGAGGCCCCCCTTTCTTCAAGACGGAACTGATCTGTCTGTAGAGAACTCGATTTTTCACCGCTTTTTAGGTGTTTTTCGGCTATAAAAACTGAACCACTTGAGCTAGGATAGTGAAATCTCGCGTGTGCCGAGCCAAGAACATACCTAATAAGCCTGCAAAATCTCAGCCAGATCGGCCGAGCCGTTCAGGAGGAGTAGTGTACACACACACACACACACAGAAAAAACTTTTCAACCGCACTGGAGTAACAGGCTTTGCTATCGCTCAGCCAACAAAGGAGCTAACTCTATTGGATTTGTACAAAGATGAGAAAATTAGCAGGTTCCCTCTGAACAACCTGTAAAATAAGAGCACTTCAGACTAAGAATGTACCAATTTTTCCTTCCTTAAAATACCCCAAACCCAGGCCATCTCAAGCTTAATTGTACTTAAATCACCAACACAAAAAGTTCCTGAGCTAATGGATTCTGTCAGCTTTAACCGGTATTTCCTTTTTATAAGCTTACAGTAATCCTGAACTGGGCCCTCTTTTAAAGAATGAATCATGAGAGGTAAGTGTGTGATTACACCAATGTTTGAGTGAATTTGTAATCCAACATGTCGGGTACCGTGGACAAGATTAAGGAGTCTTCCATTCAGATCTTCAAACAGGAAACAAGTAACACACCATAGAGGACCTAGAAGTTTAACCGATCGGGCCAGATGTAAACACATATGTACATTGTGGGTAACATTTTCAACACCATAAATCCTTTCAAACTCCTGCACAAATTCACACAACAGTTTATCTGCTAAAGTCCTATCAGCCTCACTGACACTGTGAATTGACCTACAGTGAAAACTGGTTATAAATTAACGGCATTGACCGGACATTTTTAGTAGAGTGAATAGTTGGAATTAGCATTTCAAGTTCATTATATTTTTCATTCAGTCAGTCAGTTGATACAAAACAATCGGACGGACAACAAAGCGAACTAAACATTACATAAAAATCTCAATCTGGTGGAACAGGTGACACAGCGCCGTTTCAGTTTGAGCTCATTGAAATCAGGCTCAATATTGTTCCTCCTGGACATAATTCGCAGAAGGCTAAGCGAATTCTGATCTGCGAGCCTGGACCAAAATTTATTTTTAAGAATTTTCATATGTAAAAATAGCTGTTTACAAACATAAGATGAGCTGAATAGAGCAAGCATTTTCATAGCGTGCTTGAGCAGAGCCGGAAATTTTGTTTTGCTGACAGAGAATAGAATTCTTTCAAATGAACAGAAAGAAATCGTAGTCTCAGGGCCCTCACTGGTAAAACTAGAGCGTAGTTGTATGCTTCATTCAAGCATACAACTACGCTTGAAGACTTTACGCTTGAAGTCAAGCATAGAGAAGAAATTCTCCCATGCATTTAGATAGGCGGGAAAGAGGCGAAATGGAGAACTACGCTTGAAGCCTAGCGTAGATCTACTACGCTTGAAGAAAGGCGTAAAAGTACGCTTGAGTTCTACCAGTGCTGTCAAGCTTCAGATCAATTAGTTCAATCTTAAGTTCTGGTGGCTCATTGACAATGTTGACTAAAAGTGGGTCCGAAAAGGTGGCGATGTCATTTTCCAGCTTTCGGAATTCTTGGAAACTTTTACCGAACTGCCCCGCAAGATCAGCGAGGATATTTCCATAAATTTCCCGGGCTTCGAGTGGCAGCAGCCCGACACTTCTGGGATGAGGAAAGAGGAACAGCTCACCCTTCCGAATTTCATCTTCAAAAAACCTGTGGTCAAATCAAACCCTATGATAATTCGAAACATGTCACTGATTAAATTGTATTTTCCTTGCAAGGACACTTTTAAAGAATTCAGATGTTGGGTGACATCAACAAGGAAAGCCAATTTGTTAATCCAATCGGGTTGCTCAAGCTCAGGAAATTTGTAAATTAACTTTTTTCCCGCAGAAACTCTACAAGAATGTCAAGCAAATCATAAAATCTTTTGAGAACACTTGCCCTACTCAACCACCTTGTCTTGTTGTAGTAAGGCATGTCCTCATAATCACTTCCAATTACCTCCAGAAAAGAGTGGAATTGTCTGTGGCTCAGCCCCCCCCCCCCGTGCGAATTTTGCTGACCTTGGCATAAGGTTTTGAAAGTGGAAACGCTTCAGTTTTTTCTGAGGGACTGTTTATTGTTCAAGGTTTTCATGCTCCTTTTGCGGTATACGTTGCCGAAATCATCCTTGATCCTAGACTACACTGTTGGAAAAACCCACGAAAAGGCTACAGTCCTTTGATGGTAGACACTTGACTGATCCTGTTGAACCAATATCGTACCAGACGACAAGAGTCAAGCGCGGATCCACGGGGGGGGGGGGAGGACAATTGTGCCCCCCTTGACCCCTAGACAGCCGCCCGAAAGGTAGGCAAAAAGCACCACTTTGCTCCTGTAAGTAGGCAAAAAGTGCTACATTGCTCCCCCTTGGGCCGACTCTAGATCCGCCACTGATAAGAGTACACTTTCACCGTACAAGGACACCGTAGCAAATTACTGCACGATGCTCACCATTCTAGAATAAGTGCACTGGGGTTACAAAATTAATGATTTGAGAAAGAAATCTGCAAACGCCACCGGCTTGCGGGTAAAGTTATTAATAATTTTAATTTAGTATGGAGCTGGCATGTTTTATCACGCACTTAAAACAAACGTGAAATTCATGATTCAGAATAAGTGAATATGGTTATTTATAAACAAAAGTATCAGAATGTGTCGATGGCCTTGCCCAGGGAGCGGTTGTTTCAGGATTTTGACCAGAGGTGCCTTGCTAGTCCACTGTTTATTTTTAAACGTGAGAAGTTACTTTGTAGCTCGCTGCCACGAGCAGCCGGTCAACCCGTATTCGCTTTGCGAGGGCTGATTCGCAGCGTCAGTCGGATGCACATGATGCACGCCTCCCTGTCGTAGGCCCGGCCGTCCACGCGCCACCTGCCGTAGTACAGGCTCGGGATGTTCGCGACCACCAGTCCCCTACTGGAGACGTTCTCGTACCGGTATGAGCCCTGGAAACGTGAGCACTCTCAATACAGGAACGTGCCACGGGAACGTTCACAAATTACGTAAGGGGGATTTGGGGTTTTTTCCGACCCCCTGTACTCTACAAACTCAAGTGTCGACATAGTTCACTTCACCTGGAGTCAACCTGGCATGTACGTACACTCCACGCTGGAGCATGCTTGCCAAGTACACGACAGGTAGCGTTTCCCTGCAAGCACACTGTTGCCGTGCTTTACGTGCAAAAGGTAGGGGGCTTCAGCAACAGTGTTCATGCCAGGTTGACGCCAGGTGGAAAGTACATGCCAGGTTGACGCCAGGTGGAAAGTTCATGCCAGGTTGACGCCAGGTGGAGTGTACATGCCAGGCTGACTCCAGGTGAAGTGTACTATGTCGACACTTGAGTTTGTAGAGTACCTTCATGTGAGGCCATGTAAATTTTTTAAGACCCCTATATACGTACGGTTTTTGCTGAAAATTCTCTTCACTCATGTAAATTTTGTCGGAATGTCAGAAACATGACTGAAATCCTGATCCAAATTCGCGCACCTCTGAAAGCTGAAATTCTGAAAACTAAACCTGATATTCTTGGTTTGAGTTCTACAGAACGTCCGGAGATGTTTTCAGCTCTCAGAGGTGCGAAAATTTTGATCAGGATTCTGACAAGATTTACACGAGTGTTTAAACCCCTCAAAACGGTTTTTGTTATTGCGGCTTTTGCGTGTTTCGAGCATAAGACGAGACAAGAAGGTGATTTTGGAAGCACAAATCAATCAGGTGCTGTGATAGCACTGCTTCTTTTGCAAAAGAATTTGTTCAGAACTACAAATTAATAAACAGGCATTTGGCCACAACTCAACCCGCAGGCATGGTAACAAAAGAAAATAAACGTGTTTTAAAAGACAAGTTCAAAACCATAAAACAAGTATAAAAATATTAATCAAAATCCTTTCAGTCCTCGTCCGTCCAGGGGCTGGTGAGCCATTCTGGCAGGTTGTTCTTGATGGGCTCCACACTGTTCCTAACCAGTGTGATCAATACCGGATCTGCAAGCGCCCGCCCTTGGAAAAAAAGGGTCCACAATTGATTCGCGACCACGGGTAGTTCCTTCACTCTGAGAAAAAATGACGGTAAATCCTGGATAATTTTTTTGCCAAACTTTACCGTACTTCAAAAACCAGTATCCTCCGTACAGTCCACAGTATTTACCGTACTTGTTTTACAAAATATTCCGTAGTCTTTTAACAGTAGTTACCGTTCTTCCGTACAGTTCATGCCGTAAGAAAGACCAGATCTGGTCCCATCAAAGGCCGCTTCCAAGAAGTGTCCACATCAAGAACTTGAAAAAAGGGGGTCGACCGACTGAAAAATTTTATTGCACCTTTCAATAGGTCTCGTCAAGACCTTTCCAACGAGTGGTCGGAAGAGGGGTCCAGGAGTCCGACTTCAGCAGTTGCGTACATCAGGAACTTGGAAAAAGAGGGTCAATCGACTGAACAAAATTATAGCACTTTTTGATAGGTATTTAAAGTACGGGATTGCCGGGGGAAAATGTACGGGATTTCCCGTAAAAAAAGTACGGCGTTTCCTGTAAAAAAAGTACGGTGAAGTCTGGAGTAATCAGTACAGGATTTACCGTGATCTTTTCTCGCAGTGTTGCGTACCCACTCTTTAAAAGCCTACGAAGCATTCGCTTCATAACTACGAAGAAAATGAAGGCGTTGAAGAATTGCTTCGTATTATGAAGAAATGTTTCGTATTACGAAGGGTTTTGCTTCATAAAACGAAGCATTTCTTCGTAGATTTTACAATGCCTTTATTTTCTTCGTATTACGAAGCGATTCTTCGTAGAGTTTTTTTTACTGTGCCTTTCCTTTTCATGCCCGAGGGAGAAAACGGCATCATTCAAATTGATCGCAAGCGTTCTAGCGGCTTGACCTCTCTTGCAATTTACACAATTTTCTGTAGTAGGGTCAGGGCGGGGAAAAACTGGCCAGGGGAAGAACTGGACACCCCACATTTTACTTCAAATGCCGTATGTACTGGCCTGACAACTGTCGTGTAATAAACCGCTGATGCCACGGAACAACTTTTGATAGTTGTTATTCCTGTGCCTATGGTATTTGAAGTAAAATATGGGGTGTCCAGTTCTTCCCCTGTCCAGTTCTTCCCCGCCCTGACCCTAACTGGCTCTTATCCATTTGTTTAAGTTCCCGGAAATTTCCCTTTTCTTGGGTCTGATTGTGCCGGGAACCTTCCCGGGCACTCCGATAATTCTCAGGAATATTCATTGAGAATGCGCACGCTATGAATATAGCGTCAATGGGTGCAATGCAAAAGCATGGCACGTGAATTGCCTTCCCATGCATTGGGGCATTTTCGGGACGCATTGCACGTATAGTGCGATATCTCAGTGCATTGCACCATACGTGCTCGTGCTGTATACAGCGTTTGGAATGTCAGTGTTTCCACCCTTTAAAACACTACGGAGGTACGAACCGGTGGTACGGGGCACCCTTGAAATGGCCCTTCGGCCCTCGTGGCGTGTTCCAGGAAATGCTTGTACAGGCCGGGCAGGTAAGTGCGGACTGACGTGCACGCGCGGGGAAACTTCATGACGATGGCGTTTTGCTTCCATCCGCCCCGAGAGCTCCAGGAGGCGTACACTACCTGAGCCTGGAACGAGACAACACACTAGGGTAAGGTTACCAAAATATGGATCACTAATGTCCTGTATTTTGGCTCAAAGAAGCGATGACCTAAATTTTCTTCGATACACTTCGAGATTCCCTCAAAGGCAGCACTGGTAGTCAACGAATGTGACGTCATATTCATTGGAGTGTGAATTTTGTCACGTTCGTTTGAATATGATGTCACATTCGTTTGAACGTGACTCGGCCGTTTAAGTAGGGTGTCATATTCGTTTCAACGTGGATCAACATTCAAACGAATGTGACAAAATTCACAATCGAACGAATATGACGTCACGTTCGTCGGCTACCAGTGAACCTCCTCCCAAGAACTGAACATTTAATAACAAATACTTTAAAATTTATCTGATTTTAGTTATCCGACCCAAACATAGACAAGGTAGGTTTACGCCAGACCGCGTCTTGTCGTAACAGGCTTCGCGATGTCTCGCTGCCTGTTCCTCCAATCCGCGCCTGGCGTACCTACCTTGGCCTGCGGCGCTAGCCTGCCTTCGGCAGGCAATGGCTTGTCCGTCGTCGGTTACTTCTCGTTACTTCTAACTTGTTTCTTTCTGGGGGGGCGGAGCCCCCCAGACCCCCCTTCATTCTTGATAGAGTTGCTTCATCTACAGATAACACGATCTTGACCCTTGGAACTTTTCAACTTGTTGAGGCTGGGGGACTCCGCCCTCCAGACCCCCTCTCTTCAAGACAGAAGTGATGTGCCTGCGGAAAACTCGATTTTTCGCCGTTTTTTATGTGTTTTTCGGCTATAAAAACTGAACCAGTTGAGCTAGGATGGTGAAATTTCGCGTGTGCCGAGCCAAGGACATACCCAAAAAGTGTGCAAAATCTCACCGAGATCGGCTGAGCCGTTCAGGAGGAGTAGTGCGGACACACACGCACACACGCACGCACACAGACAGGAAAAACTTTTCAACCCCACCTGAGTAACGGGCTTCGCTATCGCTCAGCCAATCACTGCCCCTCGCGTTTTGACAGGGGTGTTTCGATAACTTCCGGTCATTTAAATTTTGAAAGGGTTCACTCTGAAGGTGCCACGAAAATATTTTGAGATCCATGGTTGGTACCGCGCCAAGGGCAAGGGGGATACCTGCAAGAACATTGCTGTTCTGCTCGACATTGAGTAACAGGGTACCGTAAACCGGGGTAACTTGAGACAATATTTCACGTTTTTTGGACCGTGTGTCCACAATACTTCTCTCACCAACCCGAATCCCAACTATGTTTAATTTCACGTGATGACATTCGGTTTGGACCCCATGAAGTTTTTGGGGGTCACCTAAAATGAGATTAATGGGCCTCTAAAGTTGTCTCAAGTTACCCCGTCATTTGGGGTAACTTGAGACACACCTAGTTTTCACTTTGCTTTTTCACGGAAGTGGGGTTTTTGCCAGTCCATACTGATTTTCTGAGGCATTTAACTTATTTTCAACGAAAAGTACTACTTGTGGAATATGTTAGAAGATTTTTGATCCTTAAGGGGGGGTTCTGGTGAAAATGCTATTTTCTCCTAAATAGGTCCCACTGTGAAAATTAGTTAAAAATTTGATGTCTCATCAGGTATTTATTAAAATTTTTCATTGGGGAGGCACATTCTATGCCCTGAACCCAGTCGCAGAGCCTTTTTCTCCCATTTAGGCTATAACTTTAAAAATCTTCTTGCGCATACTATTTTGTCGTAAAAGGCTGGCTTAGACATTTTTGACTTCTTCGATTCATTTTTTAAAAATGCCGGCATGCACATCTCAAAATGTTAATTGCATTTTTATTCGCAAGCTTTCTAACCAAGCATTTCGCTATAATTCAAAAATTTACAAAACAGACCAATTTTAGGGACTTTTCAGCTTAAAAAGCTAATAATTAATAACATAATGGAAGTTTTGAGCTATGCATGCCGGAATCTTTTGAAAATGAATCGAAGAAGTGAAAAATGTCAAGGTCAACCTTTTTACGACAAAATAGTATGCGCAAGGAGATTTTTTAAGATACAGCCGAAATAGGCTCAAAAAGACTCTTCGACTGGGTTTACAGCCTGGCATGTGCCTTCAAAAGTCAAATTTTAGTCTCCTCTATGAAAAATTTTATATTCCGAACAAATTGTGACTGTGGGATCCATTTGGAAAATTGCAAGATTTTCACCAGAACCTCCCCTTAAATTAAGATTGTTTCATTAATGTTACATTTGGTAATTTGAGGGATATCGGCACTTCAGAAGCGCAACGATTCTCCCATTTCACATCCAACCCTGCCAACTAAGTACAGCGATTCTCTTATTTCACATCAAACCCTGACACCTGTTAAGACATTTTTCGTTATTTCTACGTACATAAGTCCATTCCTGCAAAGGTATATACTCTTAGTCAATTTTAAAAATTTGCTCAAAATACCTTAACTATTTTTACAGTAGTTTTTCTTCAAAAAATCGACGGTTCTTGGGCTATAAGTTGTCCGATTTCAATGACATTTAGCTTGTTGGAAAGGTTATTAAATTCCTCATCTTTTGAGACTTCAAGATTTATTATATCTCATCTGGTCCGTGTGTAGTTGAGAAAACACTCCAACTTTAAGCTGCATATCCGCCTGGGACCCTCTTGTCTAAAAAAGTGATTCCCGATCAAATGCGGCTTAGTTTTGATCTTAGAACGGGAAGGTCCGTTACTTTAAAACCACCCTGTAGTACAAGGAGGTGCCAGTGTCAAGTTACGCCACACAACTTCCGTCAAATTCAATGAAATTTGGTGTCTCAAGTAACCCCGCACAGTTACCAATTTCTATAAAAGTCAGTATTACCCGATGAATGATGGGTTTCCCGCAAAACCAATGCCGCATTTAGAATGTTGAAATAATAGGGTTGAAAGATACCATGGTCATTTGGGTCTCAGCAAGACGTGTTTCGAGTACCAAGGGAGACTTGTAACACTTCTCTAAAATTGTTAAATTGACTAAAATTGATAAATCGCTATAGGGCTGACCAGCATGGTCCTAACCCGCCATTCAAACGCTTAGGGTCAGGGCGGGGAAAAACTGGACAGGGGAAGAACTGGACACCCCATATTTTACTTCAAATGCCGTATGTACTGGCCTGACAACTGTCGTGTAATAAACCGCTGATGCCACGGAACAACTTTTGATAGTTGTTATTCCTGTGCCTACGGTATTTGAAGTAAAATATGGGGTGTCCAGTTCTTCCCCTGTCCAGTTCTTCCCCGCCCTGACCCTAATCGTCTTTCCAAACAAGTATGAAAAAAAGTGCTAGGGCAGTTTTGACCTCCGAATGTGCCGAGCCAGGTGGCAGCTCCAAAAAGTTGGAAAAGCAGAAGTGTCTCAAGTTACCCTTGCTGTCTCAAGGCCAGGGACAGGTGAAAAAATGAAGAAGTTTGGTGAAATTGAATGAAATGAGTTCCGGGTGGAAAATGGTCCTTTGGACCTTCCTCTTTCAGGATCTGTCGGGACTTCGACTATCCGGGACCTGGAAGTGCTTAAAATACATCTTTTCACACACTCCTGCATTTACGACACTTAAGTAAAATTGTCCGTTTTGCCATCAAGGGGGGAGGGGGGGGGGTCTAGCGAAAATCTTGCCATTTTCAAAATGAACCCCACTGTCATAATTTGTTGGGAATATGAAATCATACTTCAAAGAGACTAAGATTTGATTTTTGAAGGCATATGCTAGGTCTTGAACCCAGTCGAATTGTCTTTTTTGGACTGTTTTGGCTTTATTTAGCCGTATCTTGAACAATCCTCTTGCGCATACTATTTTGACGTAAAAGGCTTATCTTCATTTTGCACTTCTTCGATTCATTTTAAAAAGATTCCAGCATGCCTAGTTCAAAATTTCCATTATATTAGTAATCACATGCTTTTTTCATCTAAGAAGTCACTAAAACTTGTCTATTTTGTACATTGTTGATCAATTTAAGTGAAATGCATGCTTTAGAAGCTTGCCAATGATAATGTAATGGACATTTTCAGTTGTGCATGCTGGGATCTTTTAAAAATGAATCGAAGAAGTGAAAAATATCCAGGTCAACCTTTTACGACAAAATAGTATGCGCAAGGAGATTTTTTTGGCTGAAAATCCATTAAAATCTGTCACCAAACTTTAAACGCCCTTTTCTCCGAAGACATTTTTTTAACATTTGAATGGTCCTGTGCGCATACAGTTTGAAGTGTCGTCAATGATATTTTTTCCACTGACTCAGTAGGTTATTGCGAGGAAACGCAAGTGACAGTTTTTGTATATTCCACCCAGAAGTATGGTTTTGGATATCGGTTTTTACAAAAAAAGGGAAAATCTTTGGTTTTTGAAAAATATCAAAATTGAAAAGTTGGTATTTTGCTATCAGTGCCGGAAACTAAAATCTGTCACTTGCGTTTGTTCTTTGGACTTAGACGAACAAAAAAATATGTCGGTCAGGTCAATAACCCAAAATGGGAAACGCACAGGAATTTTTTAACAAACACTTAAAAAATTATAAAAAAGCCTGTATCTCAGGAACCGCTTGATATGATGGGATGGGATTTTGGGTGAAATAGTTTATCATCAAGAGTAAGATTTTGACAGAAAATAAGAAGTTTTGGACCAGCAGTTTCTGAGATCATTTTTTCACCTGTCCCTGGCCTCAAGTTACCCCGGTTAATGGTGTGCTCACTCTCAGCATTGCTTGCACTCATTTTCTCTTGCTCATAAAGTTTTTTGAGTAGACTTACAATATATTACTTTCTCTTTAGCTTTGCACAATTGTGATTGTTTTTATGGTATACTAGTGAATAGATCATGTAGAAATAGAGAATTATTTGGGACGAGTAAGACAGTGGCCGGCCAGTGATCTGAAAAAAATTTTACAAGCACAACTGGTTTATATTTGACCTTTCATCTTCAAGTTTGTGTGAGCTAAGTACGAAAAATATTTTGATTTGTAACTTCAAATTTAACGAAATTTGCTAACGTTGTAGATAATACTGTTGCTGCGGAAACTTCTAGATAAGATCTTTTGATTAGAACCCGTCGAAATATGTTTTCTGCGGTTGTGTTTATGCCTTACGATTTTGTAGTCATCGAAGATGTCACGCGAGGTAGCGTTGAATGAGAATAAGACAGTGTGCAGGTCTTTCCTGGCGCGAGAGACGGAACATGGGAATGGGCGGTCCAGGACTTCCGACGGGCAGCACTCCACATGCTCTACGTCAATGTCATAGCGGCCCTGTGCGCAACGGATCATTGAATCATTCCTTAGTTAATCATAAGCAAAGTAAGCAACCTTCAATACTCTTAGCCTACGAAGCTTTTGCTTCATAACTACAAAGAAAATAAAGGCATTGTAGAATTGCTTCGTGTTAGGTTAAGGTTAGGTCGTAATACGAAGCATTTCTTCGTAGATTTTACAATGCCTTCGTTTTCTTCGGATTTTAAAGTGGTTCTTCGTAGAGTTATTACTGTGAACACCACGACAAGATTCACATTCGACCTTAGATCTTAGTAGGATTGCCGACAGGCCTGTTTGGGATAGTAGAGAGGGGGAATCATAGGGGTGGACCCGGGTCTAACGTAAGTTAATGTAAATGGTTCGATGGCGGAAAATCACACTTAACTTTGCCAGAGCGACTCCGTGGGGTGACAAACCGAAGAGCGTACATTGATTGTATGCTCAACTGGAGCCTGTTTGCAAGCACGCTCTGGCTAGCGCATGCTTGCCAAGCATGCACTAACTACTAGAGCATACGTGCATTGTACAGGCTATCTGAAGCATGCATCTAGTGAATAAGGGATAGGGAGTTTTCTGCATCAGGAAGCGTGTGCATGGCATGTATGCACTAGCAAGTGCATGCTTGGCAGGCATGCGCTAGCTAGAGCATGCTTGCAGGCATGCTCCAGTTAGAGCATACATTGTACGCTCTTCGATTTAGAGTAGGACGTTCAATTTCCGCTTGCAAGACACTTCACTGCAAGAAAAATGGTTAAAAGTACAACAAATGTACAACAAAAACTGTACCATAAAAGTACAACAAAAATTGTACAAACCACAAAAAGGCCTGTACTGCACAGCACTCCTTGTGCCGGTGCCTGTACTTTGTACAACAGTTGTTGTACTTTGAAAGTACAATAAATTCCTGATAAAAAAAATTGCCAGAAATTTGTGTACTTTTGTTGTGGTTTTTCTTGCAGTGTTGCAAATGAAATGAACTTGCGAAATTTTGACCTTTTCGCTCAAACTGTTTTGGAGAGGCAGTGTGCAAAAGTAATGAGTTTGATGTGGTTGAGTCATTTACTACAGTCTGTCTCAGCTCGGAACGAGCCTGGAGACGTTCGCGTTGTTGCAGCGGTAGTGCTGCTATTGAGGGTGGATTGGCCTGGACCGGGCCCCCCAGGCGCGGATCCAAGGGGGGGCGATGGGGGCGTCGCCCCCCCCTGAAGGCGGCGAAGCCGCCTGAAAGGTAGGCAAAAAGTCGCACATAACCCCTGTAGGTAGGCAACTTTCGCGACGTCGCCCCCCCCTGAACCCGTCCCTGGATCCGCCCTTGGGGCCCCCGCTGCGAAGGGTCTGTCCCTTTACATTTCAGAGGTGTTGTTGCAGTTGCTGAGGAGGCAAGTGAACTTTGCCAGGCTCGTTCTGACCTGAGACAGACTGTAAATAACTCAACCACATCAAAAGAAAACTGGCTATTTCACTCTCTTCCATCTTCACACAATTACCGAAGGTGACCTTTGTATCATCACTTGTTGAACCCGACACAGCCGACAGGAAAATGTATACCGTGTGACCACGTTACCTATGCCACTTAAAACTGACGGTCGGAATGCCTTTTCGTTTTAGAACCGCGCGACCGCTTGGAATCGAAAGAACATCGAAAATTTTGCTACAGCCGAAATGACCACCCGCGCACGGTATCACCCTGCTTCAAACATGAGGAAATATTTCTAAATGGATCTTCTGGAGTCTACTGGGCCCATATGCCCGATCTCTTCGAACTTCTTTCAATCCCTACGGACCACATTGGTGTGGCAGAACAGGGTCACGCCCTTGGGACACCCCAAATAAATTTAAATAATGCCATTTTATCCTTCGGACAAGAAAAGGCGCGGAACGCACGATTTACCATGTAGTCGTTTTGCAAAACGCATTTACCGCGAGAGCCTGACCCTCCGTGAACCGAATAATGGCCAACGTAGCCCCGAGGAGAACTGGCGTGACAAGAGAAACATACCGCATGCCGTAGAGAAGCCCACCTGTGCAAAACAGCGTGAAAACAAACTAACGTTCGGCAAAGAGCTTTGCTTTGTGTCAACGAATTCCAACCAAACACTGTTAGCCAACGAATGTGACGTCATTTTCGTTCCAATGTGAATTTTGTCACGTTCGTTTGAATATGATGTCATATTTGTTGGAATGCTGATCCACTTTCAAACGAATGTGACACCCTACTTTAACGGCCGAGTCACGTTCAAACGAATGTGACAAATTTCACACTCCAACGAATACTACGTCACATTCGTTGGCTACCAGTGAAAACGGAAATAGAAGCGGTATGAACCGGGATCGTCACCAAATCAACAGTAATGTTAAACAAAGCTGGCAAAATAACAAGAAACCCGCCAAGAATCCTGACTTAAATACAAGATGAAATGTCTAGTGTACGCTCAATTTTAAGAGCAACCTCTCCAACTGTTTGCGAGACTCGAAGTCGGACACGAGATAGAAAGAAAGTTGAAAGATCATTCGGTGTGTCAACCCTGAGAGAGACTCCTGTACGTTGCTCGATCCGGGGAAGTCATGATAGGTTTGGGACAGCCAACAGCCAAGCCATTATTGCTGACCGTGCCGTGCATCGGAGAGTTCAGCGCACGAAACTACAGTCACGACAAGCTTGTGTAGAGTGACGTACAAAGGAAAAATTGATAACAACAGGATAAGTGGCGATATACATCGGCAACTTGGGCCTGTCCCGTACATTCAAAAATTCGCGGATACAGCCTATGTTCGATCCGAACGGGATTGGAACGTGATTCTGGGTCAAAATGAACGTCAATTTTGTCATCAGCTTAGCACACTAAAAAACAAAGCAAAGGCACGCATAAAAAGTGGTCTTAATCACTAGTTTTCGGACAAAGGGGAAATTGGAAAATAGAGTTATGAGTATTTTCGTATCACTCAAAACCACACAAATTGGTCTTGTCAGATCGCCAATTTGGGGGCAGCTTGCGGAGATACCGCATGGTCCCAAACCACCACTTTTCTGACAAAAGAGCACAAGTCCACCGTTTTCTGATGAAAACGGCACAAGTCCACGTAAGTCCATACGTTTTCTGACAAAACAGCACAAGCTCACCGATTTTCTGACGAAACAGCGCAAGTCCATGATGGACTTCGCGGTTTTGTCAGAAAACCGATGGACTTACGCTGTTTTGGCACACTGTGGCAAAAAGGTACGGAAAATTCTGTTAATTTTTTGCCAGGATTCTCCGTAGCCCTCTTATCAATATTCTCCGTAGGCTCTTACAGTATTCTCCGTAGGGCCGTACAGTATTCTCTGTAAGTCCGCACAGTCTTCTCCGTAGGACCTGGAAGACTGTATAGTCCTACGGAGATCACTGTAAGGTCCTACGGAGAATACTGTGCTGTCCTACGGAAAATACTGTAAGAGCCTACGGAGAATATTGATAAGGGGGCTACGGAGAATTACCACAAGCTGTTTACAGAATTTTCCGTAGCTTTTTGCCACAGTGCAGACATGCGGAATACGTCCTAAAAAGGATAGTGCAGCCTACAAGGATTCTGGTGTTATTGAATCCATTTGCCCGACACGCTACATTTGATTGTGAGCAAAACCTTATGCATTGCCGGCCTTTAATGCGTGTCATTGTCATCGCACCAAACAGCCTAAGTCCATCGGTTTTCTGACTAAACCGCTTAAAACCTTGGAATTTCCAAATGGTTCCCACCGTTATAATTTGTTCGGAATATAAAGTCTTTCCTCGAGGAGACTAAAGTTTGACTTTTAAAGGCACGTGCCAGGCTCTGAACCCAGTCGAAGAGTCTTTTTGAGCCGATTTTGGCTGTATCTTTAAAAAATGTTCTTGCGGATACTATTTTGTCGTAAAAGGTTGACCTTGACATTTTTCAATTCTTCGATCCATTTTCAAAAGATTCCGGCATGCATTGCTCAGAGTTTCCATTATGTTATTGATTGTAAGCTTTTTAAGCTGAAAAGTCCCTAAAATTGGTCTGTTTTGTAAATTTTTGAATTATAGTGAAATGCTTGGTCAGAAAGCTTTCGAATTAAAATGTAATTACCATTTTGAGTTGTGCATGCCGGCATCTATTAAAAAGGAATCGAAGAAGTGAAAAATGTCAAGGCAAACCTTTTACGACAAAACAGTATGCGCAAGAAGATTTTTGAAGTTATAGCCTAAATAGGAGAAAGAGGCTCTGCGACTGGGTTCAGGGCATAGAATGTGCCTCCCCAATGAAAGTTTTTAATGATTGCTCGGTGCTCGGTAAGACATCAAATTTATAACAAATTTTCATAGTGGGACCCATTTAGGAGAAAATAGCATTTTCACCAGAACTTTCCCTTAAATTGAGTCAAAACAGAGCAGAAAAAACATTTTTCCCTCTAGAATTTATGTTTTTTTCTCATATTCGGATGCAGTTTGACCAGAAGCAATGGGAAAATCGTCCTCAAAATCGTCAGATACCCTACTTTTGGAGTGTCATAAATAGCATGACAGTTCATGCCTATATCGACTTTAGTTTTAGGGTATTTTGGCCGCGTTTTGCCATTTCTGGCCCACTGTTCGTATGTTTTAGTGAAAGTTACAATTTCTACGGATGCTACGGATTCCGAAAAAAATGTCGAACGAGCCACACGTGGCGACGCGCCTCACAACTCGGCAATTTTCCTGTCCCCTCATACTTACGCGCAATCGTCGCGTCTTTTCAAAAGGTTGGATGTGTCACGAGCGCGCTGACACATTCGAAACGACTACTTCTATTCTGTGCCACTCGAGTCGCAGCCCATTTCACCAAGGCCAGCTCGTGTGGAAAGGTGTGCCTGCGCGCGGCTGTGCTTCTGCTGCTCGTGCCCTCCACGCTGCTCCGTCCAGACTTCGACAACCTCCGCATCCAGAAGACTTCTTCCGAGGACAACGATGCTCAATGCATGTACGGACTTCTCAGACCGGCCCTGGTGCGCACAGGGCCGGACTCGCCGCAGCTGTACATCGTTGGAACGCCTCGCTGGCTGAGCCCATTCCTGGTGCTGATGAAGGATGCTGCCACAGTGTTCCTCATCACTCAGCCATTTGGATCAGCAAACCTCAATGCCTCGGTGTTGCAATTTGCCGCACCGCATAGCGCTGTTGTGGTGATTGCCGAGAACGAACCCAGCGCTCTTTTTGATGTGTTTAGTGGTTAGAAGAATGCACTCAACGGCAGAACGGTTCTGTGGACAGTTAATCGAAGAGAACGAGCAGAAAGTATCCTAAACAAAACGGCAGCTGCTTCCAAACACTTCCACATGGCGCAGCTTAGGGTCGTATTGGCTGAGGATGACGACTGTGCAAGCCTCTTCAGTTTGAGAAGTCAGCAGTTGTCTCCAGCTAAGTACCAATACTACCTAGAAAAAGTAAATAGCTGGGTGCCGCACAATGGCTGGCGCCAGGATGTTGCTTCACAACTACCGTGCTACTTCCTGGGAGACTCATCATCTGGACTTAGCGTTGTAAAGGTCACATACGAATCACAGAGCCTTTACCGAGAAAAGTGGAACACGTACGCAGAAATCGTCTTGCGGGAAATCAAAATGAGCCACACACAAACAGACGTCGTTGACTGGACCGAGTTTAGAGAACGTTACGAAACATGTAGCTTTGATATTGCAGCGTTCGGTATACCTTTACCCAACTTGCACCCGTTCCAGTTCACTTCTTTTCCCATCGGCATCACAGGCTTAGTTGCACTCGTGCCTCGCGGCATGGGAAGGATGGACTGCCTTGTCGACGGCGTCACGAGTGAGTTCACCACCACGCTGTGGTTGGCCACTATGCTGTCCTTGGTCGCGGTGGCAGCTGCTTCGGCGCTTGTGAGGGGAAATGCCATGACGTTCCTTGACGCCCTGGCCCCCCTCGTGGGGCAGCCCCCTTCGGAAGGCCGTGGAACCGCGTGGCGTCTACTCATGGGAAGCTGGCTGCTCGTCTGCGTCGTCTTGTCCGCAGCCTACACCGGCACCCTTCTGTCGCAGATGCAGGTCCAATGTGCTGCAGGCAACATCCAGACACTCGATGAGATCCTCGATTCAAATCTTACATTGTACCTTCAGTACGCGCAACTTGAGCACTACGCCGTTGAGCTAGCAGAGCGTAACAAGTTTTTTAGTTCGAAAGTGTTCCTAATGGGGAGAGAGAATGAGGCTCTTCAAGATGTAGCTGAAAGAAGAAACGCTGCTATCATTGTGACAGGCTTCATGTACCCGTTCTTAGTGCCGTCGATGTCTCGTTATTCGTCGAAAATTCACACCTTTAAACTGTCGCATCAAATCGCCCACAGTTTGTTCATGGTGAAGAAAGGCTTCCCGTACGAAGAGGCAGTGCAAAATGCTATATTGCGCTTTCGAGATGGCGGGCTTAGCCACATGGTGGTCAACCGTTTTGAGAACATTAACGACATTCGACTGTACGGCGTGGAGAAGGCACAGCAGTTGCATCAAGGCGGGCCTGCACCGCTAGACATGCACAAGATGCGGCCAGCCTTTGTGGTGCTGGCCGTCGGACACCTGCTGGCGATGATTGCTTTCGCTGCAGAGACGTGCATTGGTTTCTGGACAAAGTTCGCGAAACGGAAACAGCCCGTGAAACGTGAAAACGTTTTGACTTCAAGTCTTTCTGAAGACGATTTGGAAATGGTGCGTGGGCATCGCTGCTCACGTGGAGCTGCCGACGACTCAAGGGACGGAGATGAACTGACCGTAGTGTCACTTGACGATATCGAAGGCGTTGGAGACGTTGAACATTAGCGTGATGCCTTTATCTCGTTTCATGGGCTGGTTCCCGTGCGCATTTCCTTTCGTTCAAAACGGATCGCACTTTGAAAAGCTAAAAATATGAGGTGTTAAGAAGTAAAAATATACACTGTTAAAAAACTTCCGTTCTCAAACAGAGCGGTTCAGCCGTAAGCAGCCAAAATACTTTTGCTTGTTGCCGCGAAACGAGGAATATTTGGTCAAACCTGAGAGTGTCTTATGATATACAACATGTCGGATGTCCATTTCGAATTGCAATGCCGTCAGTAATTGAAACCAGTTCGGTAAAAATAACGAACAAAGGTAGGAATGACTCGCACCATTTACAAACGGAAAAAATAACGCAAATTTTTAAAACAATGCCCACTGTTAAATGATATAACAGAAAAAGGCGTTGTGCGAATGATGTTTTTCGTTTGTGAACACGTAATTTCTGTTTCCAAACAAATTTTTGTTTTGAAAGCGCATTTTTCATTACCAAATGGTAAAATTTTGTTCCAGAATTATTATTTTTTAGGCACGAAGTAGCCTTATAGTATACCCAGGATTCAGCCGGCCCGAGATTCGATTTGTGTGGCCCTTTATGCATTTCGGAAATTTTCTATACGATTTTAATGAGATTTTGCTGACTTGTAGAACTTATACGCTGATTCTGATGATGCTGAAATCTGGTTAAAAATTTGGTGGCCAATTTTGAGAAATTTGCTGTCAAAATCGCCGTTTCCATGGCAAAACTCGACTCGTCAAAGGAAAAAAAAGGGAGTGGGGGGAGCCGAGCCGAGCCGGACCAATAGCGGAGCTTCGTTTTGGGTCTGTACAGCTTACTCCAAAAGCTGAAATAGCACGTTCGAAATGAAAAATTTCTTTGACTGCAGTTAGACAAGAGGCAACAATAGAATTGGTGTCGTTTCGAACGTGGCCATTTGGATCGGCCGGCCGGCCAGTGACTTTTTATGAGTGTGTCCCGCACCAATCCCGCACCGCTGCGTTGTTGTTTTTGTTGTTGTTTTGTTGAAAATTTTTGTTACTCTTTAAATCGGAGTGAATTGAGCCATTTAACTGCGTACCTGTGCACATGCATCTGTGAATTATCTTTCCTTAATGTAGTTTAAGAGTCGCTTTAAGACTTTTAGTCTCTTTTTGAATAAGCTGGTCATGTAGCTGCTCCTTTTAGCCAGGTTTGATGGTACTTCTGATTCAGTTAGCACCATGATCACTTCGCTCCACCTCGCGACTTTCAGTGCTCATGTTCCTCGAACAAGACTCACCCGCGTTTCGAGACCATCCCTCTCGAGTTTATAAAGTTTGTCAAGCCAACCGTCGTGGTGTTGCTACGTTGTGAGTGAGAACTATTACACAGAATTGAAGAAAACATGACTAGAGAACCGTAGCCTTTTGAAACAAGCCAAACAATTCCACGTCAGCAACAATGGAGGGGCGGTTTTAATGCGCGACTATACTCGTGTTTTCAGCTTCGCGATTTTCGCAAGGGCGCAGACGCCGACAAAATTGTTGCCAACCCGCGAAAATTAATTTACTGCCTTCTTTCTGCTACCAAAATTTTCACAATGATGGACTTCAAAGATGTTCCTTTGTCAGATCACTGTGGAATACATTAGCATTGGAATTTTTCGAATTTCCCGGCATTTTGACTTCTCTTTATTGCCAAGGTTAAATTTTGACGGGTGGCACGTCGACCACATTGGTACCACTGCCGTTCGTAGCCACCCTTGAGCCACCCCCTACCTTTTACACAACTTTTTTACTTTCCCCACACTCCTACCCAAATTGACTTCGTGACTCCTAGGATTTCTTGAAATCGTATTTTTTTGTTTCAAAACAGAAATTTGCCGTTTGACAACATCAGTAGTCGTTTTTAAACTTTGCACGAATTTTTCAGTCTATAACGGCTGGATTTCTAACAGTGTATAAGCGGGCACACCAATGAAAATGCAGAGGTTTCGTGTTGCCAGATGCGGCGGTTTACCGCCGATTGGGCGGATGTAGGTCCTTATCGTGCAAACTTGGGAAGGGTTACTGCCTTCTTTCTGCTACAAACTCTACAATGAGGGACTTAAACTGTAATTTTTGCCAACTGTCGTATTCAATTAGCATTGGAATTTTTCGAATTATCACCGCATGTTTAATATTCCTATTTCCAAGGTAGTATTTTCGGTCGTTCTGCCGTGAACCAATTGGTACCATCAGCCTTCCAAGCAACTTGACCACTCACAACCTTACAAAGGGTTACTTTCCCCACACTCCTACCCAAATTGACTTCGTGACTCCTAGGATTTCTTGAAATCGTATTTTTGGGTGTCAAACAGAATTTGCCGTTTGACAACATCAGTAGTCGTTTTTAAACTTTGCACGAATTTTTCAGTCTATAACGGCTGGATTTCTAACAGTGTATAAGCGGGCACACCAATGAAAATGCAGAGGTTTCGTGTTGCCAGATGCGGCGGTTTACCGCCGATTGGGCGGGTTTAGGTCCTTAGTCGGCGGGTCAAAATTGGGGACCGGTAAACCACCGATTTGGTATCCAGTTGTAGTTATTATTACTAGTGCTCCTTTAACTAATAGGAACAGTCTGGTTCTTCTAACTAGACTTTTTTCAGTGTGCCTTTGAAGACTGCTTTTAGTTTCACTTTAATTTTGTGCTTTTATTGTTGCTGAGATTGACATGACTTTTAATAAGAGGGCGAAGAAATTGGGGGAGGTGTCTGCCAACTCTTTTTCAGCTAGCGTGGAAGAGCCATCACTGAAAGGAAGTTCAAGCTCATCGGTGTGGCTAGAATTGATGGAACCGTCTTTGTTCGGAAGAGGTGGAGGGGGGACTTAAACAAAATGCAATGTTTTTAGTGTTTTTGAAAATAAATGTTTATTTTGTTGAAATGTTGTCTGAAATATGCCCTTGCCCGCAACATTCCCATTTATCAGTTCATTCAGAATTTTATTCAATTAAATAACAAACCAATTCCTACAACGTAATACAGTTTTCTGAAAGTAAATGTTAAATAAATTGATTCAGTTTGACTTAAACAGAATTGAATAGTACTGATATATTAACTACTTAAGGACCTTTACACTCTCCTCTTACATTAGGCTGTCTACTTGAACAGAAAGCGGAAGCACGGCCCAGGAGTCCTTGACTCTTACTAGTCATAAAGTGACAACAAACTTTCGCTGTGTAGGGCGGCGGAGCCCCGTAGCATAAAGGTTGAAACTGAACGCTTCTTTGTCTCTTCGTGTGGCGCTGAGTGTCAAAAGAGTCTGCCGAAGGCAGGCCAGCGCCGCAGGCCAAGGTAGGTGTAAACGCCAGGCGTGCACACAAAATCTATGTGTGTACTCAGTACACACTTCTAGGTGCGTGCTTACAAGCATGCACTTCGAGGCGTGTACTTGCCTAAGCACGCACCTATAAGTGTGTACTTGAATGAGTACACACTTGTGTACTCACTGAGTACACACTTTAAATGAGTACACAATTTAAATGAGTACACACTTCAAGTACACACTTCTAGGTGCGTGCTTAAGCAATTACACACCTCGAAGTGCATGCTTGTAAGCACGCACCTAGAAGTGTGTACTGAGTACGTGGATTGTCGGAACTGGCGCAGCGACAAGCCACTGCCTGGCGTACACCTACGTTGTATCCTCAGTAGCGTGTGTGGGGATGATGTTCAGCTCGTCGGCGGGTGTTCTGCCTTGATGAGGTCCGCCGCGCGCTCGGCCACCATGACGACGGCCGCGTTCACGTTGGCGCTGACCACGTGGCGCATGGCCGAAGCGTCTGCCACCCGCAGCCCCTGCACGCCACGCACCCTCAGATGTCCGTCCAGGACTGCCGTCACATCTAGGAAAACAAGCCCATAGGAACGGGAGGGTCTTTACGATACAAACTTCACTGCACTGAAAAACCCAACGTAGTCTAAACCGCACCGCACCACAGGTGTGGTCAAATGGGTGCCATTTTGGCCGCATCAATTGGTGTGGTCTAGACCACGTTTGGCAAAGTTTGGTGGGGTCTAGACCACGTGTGGCCACGTTTGGTGGGGTCTAGACCACGTCTGGTGTGGTATTTCCAGGCTATGACCACACCAAACGCACCAAACGTGGTCTAGACCACACCAACTGATGCGGTCAAAATGGCACCCATTTGACCACACCTGTTGGTGCGGTCTAGACCACGTTTGGTTTCTCAGTGTGGCCTCTTTGATATTTCATGTTCATGTCCCTCTTGATTTGTAGCTATCTTAAATAATCGAATCAAGCGGAATTCGGTTGCGTTCAAAAAGATTCGTCATAGGGAAACGACCAGGTTAGATCCTTATCCGAAAACTGCAAAAAAAAATCTTTTGGCTTGCTTACCTCCGTCCGGCCCCATTCGTGCAGAGCAGCACTGGTGGTTCTCCGGCGCCGTGTGGTGGCGGATGAGGCACTCCCAGTATCCGTCCGAATCAATTTCCTTGCTGCTGCAGGCTTGTGGCGCGTTCGGATACACCAGGCGAAGCCCACGCCAGCGCAGCGCCTGTGTGTTGGCCAGCCTCTGCACGAATCTGCGCGGTTCGTTTGCATGGTTAGTACAGGTTTGTGAGGCCAGACCGCCGCTGCACGTCGCTGCCAGGTCAAAGACCGTCTACGATGCAGGCGGCTCAGGTCCCAGACCACTTTTGGCAAATTCAGTGCGCAATTTCAGGAAAAGTGATCGCAGAACAAAAATTTAAGCACCCATGAACCCAGCTTTCTGCAAGAAAACCATTGCTGCTTATTTCAAAACAAAAAAAAAACGGCTCGTTTGAAAATTTTTATTTTGGGCCTTGCGGTAATAAACAAGCCTGTCATTGTCATCGCAGCCCATTGTCTGTCCACTGCACCCGGAAAGAAGGTCTGCACCGTACCCAGAGATACAGCAGTCACTGCACCTCAGTGAACGGAGCGTTAGCAGTGACATTCCAAACGCTATGAATGTAGCACGTATGGTTCAATGCACTGAGATATTGCACCATACGTGCAATGCCTCAGCCATATTGCACCTTGCGTGCAATGCATCCCGGGCCCTGTGCTCATGGAAAGGCATTGCACTTCATGTCCAATGATGCTATATTTATAGCGTTTGGATTACCGGTGAACTCACCTCACGCCGTCGATGAGAAGGTCCATGTCGCGGCGGTGCTGCAGGTCATTGGCAAAAAGCCGTGGTGGCGCAAGTGGTCTTTACTCCTGAGCTGCACCGAGCCCCGGCTCCGCGGACGCAGCACCACCGGCAAAATCCTGGTGGACAAGACCGAAAGCATTCATTTAAGTGAATACAAAGAATACATCGAGAAAGCTTTAGGAGTCTGTTAGAAAATGAAAAGGGGACGGATAGGAACAGGAAGAGTTTTTATAGGTGGCAAACAAAATCAGTAATCTTAAAGCAGTTCTAATCTTAAAATCATCAAAGGGGGAGAAAAATCATACCGAATAGGGGTGTTATCCAGTACATGACTAGACTCATTGTGCGCGCCAGTCCGCGAGCAGTTTGCAAGAGCGCCGTCGAAGAAAAGCTGCAAGTCTGGCAAGTCTTTTGCTCTTCCTTTGGAGTACTTGCTGTGGACAAACGCAGTTACCTGGAATTGAAGCACAAACTAGTAAATTAGGGAAGGAGTGTCGACGGGAAACGAGACGACCCAGTGAACTCACGAAATAACTTCGTAGTTTTTCGTGTATCAGAAACTAATAGTTGGCATCATCAACCCCACACTGTCAGGAAATTCCGAAAAAAAAAGCAAAAATCACGGAGTTTCTTCCGTAACTTCTGCATGGAGCTCTCCATAAATGCAAATTCTGGGCTTTCTCCGAAAAGTTTCGGAATTCCCAACAAAAATGTATGCTTCACTATCACGAAAACACGAAAAAAGGGTTTGCAACCCGTTAAAAAATGAGGGAAAGGTGAACCCCTACTTGTTTAGCTCAGTTTTCATAATATTAAGGGAAAGCTACGGAATATAAGTCAAATGAGCTCGAAGGAGATTGTCCCTTCTTTGACCATTTCAGACTGAAGAATGCTTCAGCGAAGTCCTCTTTGACATTTATGAGAAAAGACATGCATTTTACCTCCCATCAGGACCCAAGTAATGCTCCGAAGAACATCTGTTAAAGCCCTAAGAAAATCTCTCCGAAAAAAGATGGAAAATGAATGGAGTCAACGTGATTATAGAGTTTTTCTCCATAAAATTTCGGAGCTACTTTCTAAGAGTGCAACAATTGAACGACTGGGCGCGGGGTACGCATTCGACGTTCGGTGTGCAACTATCAACGCCAAAATTGTTCGTTCGTCCTTCCCTCTGATGACTTCACACTAAATGTCATGGGACTTTTTTTGGCCCACGGTTTATGCAATTTTAAGCACATCCGGTGGTGATGCAATTTTGTGTCCGCCAGGCGGGACAAATTGTCCAGTGAAAGTACAAGTTGCAGCTGGCGCCGGACAAAATGTGTCACCAGACGGGAACAAAATTGTATCAGCGTCGGATGTGCTTAAAATTGCATAAACCGTGGCACAAAAAAAGTCCCATGACATTTAGTGTGTTCACTGCGGTGTCTCCGCCGCAAGGAGATGGCTAGGCGAAGTAAGATGACGCTGGAAATGGGAGTAGTCACATAGGGGTTTCCAAGCCCCAGAGGCGCTAGTGCATAATGGTCTTCATGAGATACAGGGATTTCAGCAACCGTGTACGGCTAGAAGAGTATCTAGGGGTACTGAAGAAATCGGGAGCTCAATAACATTGAGCGAAATTTCGCCACCACAAAAGTGTACTGCGGCGCGTGTGCCAATTTTCAATCCCGATACGATGTCTGCCTTGACGCTTTTCAGAGAGGGTATAAACGAGCAGTTCTCGCGAAATGCTTAATTTTGGGCCCTGAAACTTTTTGAAAAAAAGTTCAATTAAAACCGGGTTTTTTGCATTTATCTTGTTAAGAACATCACTAGGGATCATGGATTCATCGGGGCGAGCTATCACCCCAATAATATAGAAAATATCGCAATTTTAATTTTTTTGCCGTCCACGGAAATTACACAGCCTCAGAAACTGTCCACGGAAATTACATTTTAATGGGCCCTTAGAATAGGTGCGATACGAACGCAAACGCCTAGCAGTTTAGGCATCTCCCTCCACATCTGTGCATTCTGGTTCCATGTTGCGTACCTCACAATAAAATTTCGGGCTAGACCACAATTTGATCGTATGCCGTTTCGGGCCCGACACATGCCCGCGTGCACTGCCAAACGGGACACGGCCGTCCTTACTGGGGTGCCACGTTATACTGGCGGAGAAGAACCTATGCGGCTACAAGGTCCCACTCGTAGTGTGACCAGTATGTGACGAGGTATACACCCCCCCCCCCCCGGGGGGGGGACCCTAGAACAGCCTCTTTGAGCAAGACTGGGTCCGGTGTCCACCTCTCCCGGCTCAATTCCCTTGTCTCGGGAACAACTGTGAATTCATTTTCTTCTGACCACGGTTGCATAGTGTTTACCTCCCAGGCGGTACCTCTCATACTTGGCAAATGATGGGCCCTACAGTGGACAACGGAGGAAAGTCCCTCTTGATCAGCTCCTGCGTGTCTATGATCGGAAAATAATTAATAATGGGTGCGATCAGTTAAGGAAAAGTTGATCGGCGGGTCGAGACAGCGGCCCGCTCGCGGTGCGGTCTATTTAGCCCTCCTGGAAGCATATCTGGCACCCACGTTTACTAATCTTTATTTTCAGAAAGATTACTCTTTGAGTTTGAGGAACAGATTGCTGCAATTTATTCGATAAACTGGGTCTTAGCATTCGAACGGCAAGCTAAGGAAAGACGTCATGTCGCTTAACATATCGGTCAGGTTAAGTCTAGCGCAAGTCTTAAATGGTCAGCTAGATCCCAAAATACAGCGAGCCTATTTTTCGCAAGACTCTAAGCTTTCGGTTAAGCTTTCCGATCTGAATAATCAACTTTGAACGGTTTCACTGACTCGCAGTCACAACTGTCAAGGCAGTATGGCGGCCGCGCCGAACAAAGCAGCATAAAACCGCTTGGTTGTCCAGAAAATACAGTGTTTGACCAATCTGATGAGTGGAGTCGAAAGCTTAGACTCTTGCAAAAAGTCGGCTCGCTGCTCGTTTGGGTCCATTTTGTGACTTGCGGCGGGTTTAACCTGATGGATGTTGTGTTAAACTACGCCACGACTTTCCTCAGCTTGCCTTCCCATTCCCCATGCCCATTTCCCTCCAGAATGGCATTCCCTCCATAAGAGAGGTTTAAAACAGAAAAATATCGACGTACTTTAAAGCTGAGGCCCCTTGCGAGGCCAAAATCACGTGAAACGCAACGAAAACCTCATTTTGTCCACGGAAATTACAGTCCACGGAAATTACATTATTGCATGAAATGGGGTGTACAAGCCAAACCAGAAGTGCCACCGGAACCAAAATTTTACTGGAACAACTTGACCACAAGGCAAACACACAAGGATTGGTTCGCAATCAAAATTTTGAATGGTCTGCAAGCAATGGGTGGAACGGAAATTACACTTATTGCTTGCTAGGCCATTTTTTTCGCCGCTTTGGAACTTATTTAACTTTATATTTTCCGTTCTAATGGTGCCACATTACTCCGCCACTTTGCAAATTGTGTAGAACGAATGCACCAACAATATGAGAAAAGTTTCAGAACGATCGCAAATAAGGTAGAAAAACCGTCCCAAAAAAACCGATTTTAGACTTTTTGAATTTTAGTTGTGGAAGACAATTTTCGGAATCATCTTGTGTCTGCAAATTTTACCCGAGAGATACGTTCTACACGTCAAAACGTAGCCTCACTTGCGTAGAACAAAATGCACTTTGCGAAAGTGATTTCTCATACTCCCTTGGGCTGTAGTAGAGGCGGGAAGCCCCAAATCTGGAGCGTAGGACATCAAAAAGTGTCCACGGAAATTACATTCTAGGGTAAAACTTGCAATTTAACGGTGGAAGGAGGCAAAATTTCATCTTGATGAGAATTGTACCTTGTCCGCAAGGTCAAAAAACATAAAGGTAGGAAAAGACCCGGTTAAAATCGACTTAAGGTTGGAAGAACCAGAGAGAGGACACGAAATTATCACATCTCGCGAGAACTGCTCAAACGCAGAAAAAAGTAAATGCTGGAATATACTTAAATGCAGAAAAACTCGTTTTCTATGTCCGAGCCCCTTTCGCAGCTGTACACGATCGCGAACTGAACTATCCACTCCGTGCCTAACGCTTGTTACACTTGCCTGCGACAGCCCCGTCGAGGTCATGGACCCGGTGCCGTTGGCCACGAAGTTTACCACTGAGCGCATGTCCAGGCGCTGGGTGTGTGGTGCATTGCTCGCTAAGAAATCAACTGGATACGATACGTGATTTTCCAGGTTCTTTCCGACTGCAGGGATATCTGCAACCACCGGTATTCCTGTCAACAGTAAAGTGTCACAAAGTTTACTGAGGGGTTGACAACGCCTTCCACTCGACACGACAACCTGTTGAAGGGCGGCGCTGAGCTCAAGAATTCCCACACACTAAATGTTGTACAACGAAGATTCTCCATATTATGGCGAAAATATTCCATATTATGGTGGTGCAGCTGACTTCGTAACATACCAATGAGAATTCACGGTACCTTATAGATATTTTGACGAATTTCGTTGATATTATATGGAGAAAATCTCCGCCATAATATGTTGGTGCAGCCTTTCACCGAAAAGCATTTACAGGGCATACGCAGCAAATTTTTAAAAAAATCTTGATTCAAGAAGCCATTTTTTTACGGTGTACTCACCCGTTTGTTCCAAATGCTCTTTCGGCCCCAGGCCAGAGAGAAGCAGCAGCTGCGGCGTCTGGAGGGCGCCCGCGCACAGCACCACCTCTCGCTTGGCGCGCAGTGTGTGCACGACGCCTCGCCGCAAGTACTCCACTCCCGTTGCCCGCCGGCCCTCCGTTGTCACGCGGAGCACCTTGACGTGGGGGTAAAAATCAAAAGGTTAAGTACATGACCGGTCCAATCTTGCACCAAATGTTGCCCCCATAGGGATGAGTAAAATTCACAAAGTTTCAGCCCTCTAGCCTCAGGCGAATTTCGCGATGTGGCCATTCTCACACACCAAATAGATGTGGACATTGTTGTTACCAGTTAGCGAACGCTTTTTGGGCAACGTTTTCATAATACGTTACAAAATGCCGACAAATTCAAACACAAACCAGAGACAAATTTGTCCACAGATTTTTGGAGGCATTATTGTATATGATCTAAGCCCTAAATTGTTCACAGATGCGGACAAATATATCCGCAACAAAAGAATACAAGCAAAAGTCTGGAATATGAAACAAATATGACCAAAAGCCATAGACTTATTTTGTCTCCAAGGTCTGGAGCAGGGGGCGGCAACGGCCTAGGAAGCGCGTGAAGCCATGCGCGAGTAAGGTGCATTGGTTACTTATTTTGCTTCGATTGTAAGATCTAGCCCGTTGATTGCAAAACGCTTTGCATAGATCAAAAGAGCACAAAATTTGGGGTGCATTAGGCCTAGTAGACTGCCCGATACTTCCAATTCAACCGAACACAAGGGTGGAACCATTTACATCAACATGGCGCATTCGAGTTTTTCCTAAATTTTATGATTTCTCGTGTTTTTAGGTGTTTTAACTGCACCTTAATATCAGGTAAGGTGAGAGTTTGGAGAAGAGCAATTAGCCTAATGCACCCTAAATTTCAAGCCCTTTCCATCGGTGCAAAGCGTTTTGAAGAACACAGTCTAGTTTTCATAATCTCGAACAAGTGCGCAACCTCTGCACTGACGGCGCGAGCATCGCTTCACGCTCTTCCTAGGCCGTTGCCTCCCCCTGTCTGGAGGCAAAGTGATGTAAACAAATTTGTGAACAGCTATCCATAGTATGGCGTAAAAGCCATGGACAATGTGTACATTTGGTAACGCTTAAAAGCGTTTACTCTTTTTTTATTACAAGGATTAAACAGCCCTGAGGGCAAGCCCTGTACAGACATCGGAGTTTGTTTTCACATGTTAAGGCAGTGTGACCATGGGCCAGGGAAACGATTTCTCGACTTGAACGAAATGAACTTTGTAAAAGAACAATTAGTACTTGTTTGTGCTTACAGTGGCTTCCGTGATGACGCGCAGGTTGGGCCTTCCCCTGGCAGGGTGCAGAAAGGCCCTCGCGACCGACAGGCGATGGCCGTTGCGCACGTTGGCCTGCGCCACTGTGAAGCCTGTCTGGTTCTTGCCGTTCAGGTCCACGTCGGAGCGGTAGCCCAGCTCGGAGCCTGCTGCCAGGATGTCCCAGGCCAGCTGCGGCTGGTCCGGGAAGCGCTGCACTGTCAGGTATCCCCCTCGCGAGTGGTACTTGTCCTGCAAAGCAATCTCAGCGATGACAGAGGCTTGGAGACATGGGGTGGCAATGGCTTGCACGTGGACAATTTTTGAAGTTTACTTAAACCCACAGTTTACTCAAAACACTCATTCCGAGGGACCCCATTAAGATCTTATCTGGTCGTTTCCGTATAAAGATTATTACACTGAGAATCCAAACGCTATGAGTGTAGCGTCAATTGGTGCAATGCAAAAGCATTGCACAGGAAGTGCTATGCCTCCCCATTCCCATGCATTACCATAGGGCATTTTAGGGATGCATTGCACGTAAGGTGCAATATGGCTATCGCATTGCACGTATGGTGCGATATGCCAGCTGCATTGCACCATACGTGCTATACTCATAGCGTTTGGAATCTCAGTGTATGTTGGGGGTAATACATTTCGGAATTCTGGTCTTCCAAAACCCATGGCATAAAGCCTATCCAAAAAAAAAGAAAAAAAAAACGCAAAGAAACTGAATTAGATGTTGCTTTCCGTATCAGTCCAGCGGCCCTTGGTTCCTTTTCGCCCTGACCCAAGAGTTAAAGCGCAGTTGCACTTCCGCTTCATTCAACGAGTCTTGATTCAGTCAAAAATAAATCGCTCACCTCAACGTGACTCTCGCCCAGTTCGCGGTTGTCTTCGGACTTGAGAAAGTAGGGCAACACGTGGCTCCAGCCCCAGCCGTGAAGGCCCTCTGCCTCCCAGCGGTCGTAGTCGCGGAAGTTGCCACGCATGTACATCATGCCATTGATGGTGGAGGTGCCACCCAGGACCTTGCCTGCCAGACATAGTTTTAATTTGTGAAATTTAAGCTTGTCATTGCACCCCATGTGTCGCGCCATACTGGCCCAGCAGTTGACCAAATGTCGCTTTGAAAAAAGTGCACAGGAGGCGGGGATACAGGTGAAGCAAAGAGATTTTTGCCCCTCCCACAGCACCTAGACAGCCACCTGAAAGGTTTACACAAGCGACAATTTACCCCCATAGGTAAACAAAACGGGCCTTGGGAAGGTCCTAAATTGTCACAAGACCTGATTTTTTTCAACATGGAACTAAGGCCGATGAATGCTGAAAAGTCAGAGGAGTTTGCTATCCCCATCAGATGACACAAGTACAAGAGTACAAAGAGTACAAAAGATGAGAGGGGTGATCGCCGTACTGATCCATGATACACTTTCACTGAGAATGAAAGAGTCACCACCATCGCCCTTTCATTGGGTAACGCACGCGCCGTTGCCCAAATTTGGGTGACGAGCCCGCGGTGACCAAATTTTGGGCAGTCATAAAATCGTCGCCCAAATTTGGGTAACGTCGTCGGCGACGCCGTGAGGTCCCGATGACGCTCTTCCGGGGCCACCACGATGACCCAATGGGGCGTTGAGGCCTCCGGTCATCGTGGTGGCCTTGGAAGGACGTCATCGGGAACCTCACGGCGTCGCCGAGGGCGTTACCCAAATTTGGGCAACCAAACGCCTGTTACCAAATTTCGGGTGATGAATTTTTCGTCACCACAATTTGGGCAACGAAGTTGCATCACCCATTTAAAGGGTGATGGTGGTGACCAATTCATTCTCAGTGTTGTCAAAGAACGTAACCTCTCAACGGATGAGACAAGTAGGCTGCACCACTTAATAAGTATTTCAGTGGTTATATAAATAAGATTAACATTTCCAAATCGTAACAGAGAATTCTCGACAAAGATTTTCAAGGAGGAAGATTTTGTGTGGTGGGCGGATGCAAGCAGACCTACGCCACATGGAACGCGAATACGATGTTGAACTGCTGAAGATTTGCAAATTCCGTAGTGAATTCAGTAGTTTCGTTGAAGCCTAATGGGTACAATCACAGATATAGGATGAAAGATACCAAGATGCTTATGTTCTTTAGCTGCAATAACTTACCTCGGGGCCAGAAGCAAGTAGAGTTCATGCAGGAGCTATTTTGCGCCTCCACTTTGAAGTGCCAGTCTAGCTTCCGCTTGCTGTCGGCGTCCGACACGTACAAGGAAGGAACCTGTAAGTCGACCTTTATTGTAAAACAGTTTTGCTGAGTTTTTATTAATTTTAGTCTGAGAGTTTTAAACAGACTAGTTGTATGAAAACTCAGAGTTATGATTCAGACCACTCTGATTCAATTCAAATTCAGACTACTTGTCTGATCAAAACTTTGAATAACAGTGCCGCCCCGAAATTGAAATAAAAAAAGACAAAACGAGACATTTATGAATGTTGTTTCTTGGTAACATATTGGATGTTGGACACTATTTGTTGTTATCTTGCGTCCCCTTGTGAAATGGTTTTTCGCTCGCTCCACTGTAATTCAAAGGGTGAGATATCTCACCAATTTTCGGCGATACAAAATATATCACCGAAGAAAAGGTCGTACATGAACGTATCACCGAAAAAATGGTCGTACACGCATGTATCACCGAAAAAAAGGTCGTACACAAATGTATCACCGAAAAAAAGGTAAGACATCAGCGAGATTAACCCTTGTTTTTCAGGGAAGTATCACCCTTTTTTCGGTGATACATTCGTGTACGACCTTTTTTCCGGTGATACATTCGTGTACGACCCTTTTATCGGTGATACGTGCGTGTTCGACCAGTTTTTCGGTGATGCATTTTAGTATCACCCTTTTTCGGTGAGACAGTTACGTCTGACCCCTCAGAGAGTGAGATGTATCACTATTTGGTTTTCAGTGTCCCTACCTGTGACACAGCAGGTTCGGAGCCGCCGGCCTCTAGCAGCACGACGCGCAGGTCTTCGCGCTCGGACAGCCTCGCGGCCACCACGGACCCCGCGGAGCCAGCACCCACTACCACCACGTCGGCTTCGTCCTAATAGCATAAGAAAATAACAAGCCAAATTTGTAGGTTTTTTAGCAGACGATACATTACACCTTTACCTACTTCAAAACATATCTAGAACAATACAAGACACTCCAAGGTGTCACCTAACATTTACTCGAGTGTCTAGAAACCAACCTAATAATAATGAAATGGGGGGGGGGATAGTGAATGGGTGCGTGGCTCGGAGTCTGCGCGGAACATCGACACACACTCCCCCGGCACAGCGCCACGGTTCGGCACGGCTCGGCGCCTTTGGTGTAGCTGGGCTGGGGCTTTCTTCACCTAGATTAGTTTCACGGTTTACGAGCACTGCTTTACCAAGACTGGATGCTGCTGCAACCTGCAGGCGGCTCCGAGAGGGTCCTCAAGGTCAGGCACCAGGGGCAGCACGGTGGTGACCAACGCCATGAAGTCCGACATGGTGCCGGAGGCGGCGTGGCAACGCGGCGTCACGTGGGGCAGCTCGAAATTCAAGAGTGACCTCCTCTCCTACAAAAATCATGCAACACGCCACTGCAATGCAAGTAAACTAGGATTGCCGAACATAGATCGGGGTATCAATCATGGATCATTTTTTTTAGCGTGCCGGCACCGCATCTATTTTTTTCAAAGGTTTTTATGTAGTCTGCACTTTTTAAAGCTTCTTTACCATACCATTACGAAATAAATACAATCGGAAGTTATCGAGAGGCTCCTGTGAAAATGCAGGGGCGGGGAGATTTCGAAGCTCTGGATATTTCAAAGAATTGGTAATCGAACGGTTATTTTGTGACAGTAGGTTGTCTTCGTGGTTATCTCAGAATGAGTCGAATTTAGGGCGAAATACAGGACATTTCAATAAGGCAGTCCATGTTTGGTAACCTTACTTTAACAGCAGGCTCCAATAATGATTCGAGGCACATTTGTTTGATGAGCGATAGCGGAGCTAGTTTCTTCAGCGGGGTTGATAATCTTTTCATGTCTGTCTTAGAGTGCGTGTGTGTCGTGTGCGGACAACTAGGATAGTCCTCAACGGCTTGGCCGATCTGGCTTAAAATGTTGTTCACGTAAGGGAGGGTGGGGCAGTTTGTAACAATGGTTGAAATGTTCACTCTCTTCTCAAAGTTATTCAACTGCACCGGTCACGGCCTAGTCCACTGCAAATCAATAAGGTGTAGAGGACAGTGATGGACGTTGACGTTTGGGAATTGATTTCAATTCGATGCAAAATCCTGACGGCTTTATGCCCGTTGAAAATGAGAGCTCCATTTACCGTAAGTTAATTCAACTTTGGAGCCAAAATTTTTGTTTTCAGTGGGCAGTGGCAAAGAACAATTGTTACGAAAAGGAAAGGAAGTGGTAGCAGCACCTACTGCATCCCCAACCAGACCATCAACTGCCTATGGTAAAAACCAGACCTAAACCAAAAAATATACCAATCCAGGGCTGCTGAATTACATGAGAGACAAATCACTGGTTTTTTGACAAAGAGGCGTAAGTCCACTAAACCAAATTTTGCAGGACGGCCAAAAAACATACTGTTTTTAGCTCCTAAGATCTATAGATTCCGACACAACACTCAAATTTTTGTGACAAATTCTTTGAGAAAGTGTGCATCTTTTGGTAAAAATCTCATGTGTGTAACTCTTCTGTAACTCCTGCAATGTTAGAAAAACCCTTCAAAATGAGGTGTGATTTTTGACAAAGAGGCGTAAGTCCAGGTGGATTTTTGACAAAGAGGCGTAAGTCCAGGTGGTTTTTTGACAAAGAGGCGTAAGTCCAGGTGGATTTTTGACAAAGAGGCGTAAGTCCAGGTGGATTTTTGACAAAGAGGCGTAAGTCCATAGGCCATTCTGACAAACAGGCGTAAGTCCATAGGCCATTCTGACAAACAGGCGTAAGTCCACAGACTATCCCGATAAACTAGTTATGATTTATAATTAACCACTTACGAATGTCCACAGCTAATGTGGTGAAAATGGCGAATGTCCACTCATGAGGTCACAGAGTGGTTTGCAATATGTCAACACTGTTCCAATCAAATAATAATGACTAATCGTTCCTCTCATCTCAATCCCATCAGGCTAACTGAGATTCCAAACGCTATGAGTATAGCACGTATGGTGCAATGCAGCTGACATATCGCACCATACGTGCAATGCAGCAACCATATTGCACCTTACGTGCAATGCATCCCGAAAGTGCCCTATGCTAATGCATGGGAATGGGGAGGCATTGCACTTCATGTGCTATGCTTTTGCATTGCACCAATTGACGCTATACTCATAGCGTTTGGATTCTCAGTGCTAACAATACATATCTCAAAACGGACTCTTAAATATTTGCAAGGGGTATCAGATCTAAAAGACCAGCATTCTTCGTCACCTGAGTCCGATGACGGTGGTGACACCAGAGTCCGATGACGATGGTGAATGGGGCATTTGTCTTCTTAGGCAGCACTTGGCCTAAAAGTCATGGGCCCAACACAGAGTGTGCTACATGGAGGTTATCAGCATGGATGAGTCCAAGTTCTCCCCTGCTGCAGAAGATTGCTGCGCCAATCACCATCTTCATCGGACTCCGGTAGGGATGGTAACATACCGGTATTTTATATTTTGGTATTTTAAATCGGTTTTAAACCGAATAAAATACTGAAAAATACTGGTATAAAACCGTAAAATACCAAGAAATTCAGAGTTCTCGGTTTAATACCGGGTTTAAAACCGTATTATACCGTAAAATACCGACCAATAAAATACCGGAGCCATCCCTAGACTCCGGTGAGGAAGAATGCTGCTCTTTTAAATCTGATGACCCTCGCAAAGATGTAAGAGTCCATTCTGAAATACGTATTGTAAGCCTGATGCGATTGGGATGAGAGGAAACGTTACACTCCCTAACTGTCTACTAAGTACACACTTACAAATGCATGCTTGCAAGTCCACACTTGAACGCATGCTTCACGCATGGAGTTATATGGCGCCAGGGATGCGTTTGTTAGTGTGTATACTTGCAAGCATGCATTTGTAAGTATGTACTTGGCCAAGCATGCGTTTATGTGCGCTTGGAAGCATGAATTTTTAAGTGTGTACTTAGTAGACAGGTTTGCACTGTAGTCATTATTATTTGATTGGAACAGTGTTCACAAGTTGCAAACCACTCAGTGACCTCATGGGTGGTTGGTTGATTGGGATGGTCTGTGGACTTACGCCACGGACTTACGACTTAAGGTCCATGGACTTACGCCTGATTGTCAGAATGCTCTATGGACTTACGCCTGTTTGTCAGAATGACCCATGGACTTACGCCTGTTTGTCAAAATGGCCTGTGGACTTACGCCTCTTTGTCAGAATGGCCAATGGACTTACGCCTCTTTGTCAAAAATCCACCTGGACTTACGCCTCTTTGTCAAAAATCCACCTGGACTTACGCCTCTTTGTCAAAAAACCACCTGGATTTACGCCTCTTTGTCAAAAAACGGGTGGACTTACGCCCCTTTGTCAAAAATGGAATGGACTTACGCCCTTTGGACACCTTCTGTATCTTCTGAACTAATTGAGATATTTTCATTTTTCAAAAACCAGTAGGCTTGTTATTTAATTTTAAAATCTTTTCTGGAATAAAGTGGATTTTGCCAATTTGTGGACTTACGCCCCTTTGTCAAAAAACCAGTGAAATAGCTGCACAAGAAGCAATGGCTAATGAAACGACACTGCTGTGAAATGGTATTGAATTGTCAAATACCCAAAGATACCCGGTTATGTTGTCGCTTGCGTACTTCGATAGGGTAAGGTTACCGAACATAGATAACTTTTTAAATAACCTTGTCTATATAAGTATGGGTTGACTACTATTTTTTAATCTAATGTTGATGTTTACCTTAATAGTCAAATAAATGGCTACCAAAAATGGTACCTCTAACTTGAATACTTTGGATGTTGTGAGGACAAGAAAATATGGCTGTTTTTGCTAAGGTTAGGTTAGGGCGGTTCAATCATGGATCACAAGCGTTTGGACACTAAGCAAGGTATGCGTTCTGTATCGAAGTATTCGGTCTAAAGTGAACGATGAAAGATTTTAAAGTGACTGCGGTGATTACTTGGCCCAGAATCAGGAGTGCAAAAATCACCTTTTAGAGCGTCATTTTTCCATCGATTTTCGGGGGCTGTTACAGGTGCCTTTCTAAACGCTACCACGCGGAGTAGAGATAGGCAGTTGCAAACTTGCCAGCGTCACATCTAACAATCAAAGGGTCAGTCTAAGCAAGGAAAGACAATTCAGAATCTGGTCACCTGGTCCACAAACAGATATGATCCAAGTTTGGTGACCCGGTCCATGTTCGGCACTTGACCCTAACATGGTGCATTACCGGCTAAAATAGTGTCATGGACCACAGTGCCGCGCTCGCCCCCACAAGCCATACCTGGTTATCACTTTTCGGCTGCAGGCGTTGCAGCTCACGGATCAGCTGTTGCTCCAAGTCTCGATCAGTAACTGCAGACACACGGCCGCATACTGCCACGAGCAAAAGTATGCTGCTAATCCGAATGAAAAATCTGGGATAATAAACAACAATAAACCATGATTTTACAAAATATTCACTTATACCTCAAATGGAGGAAAAGACTGTTGTATCCGTAGTGAATACTCCATGCTAGCCGTTTGTACATGTCGATACCCCGCGCGTCAGTGTTCTGTCAGTTTGTGTAACCACCGCATAGCGCTGTCAGTCAGCATGCTCAGTTTCTGTAAACCTGTCCCTGTCGCCTCAGTTCCGAATTAAACACCGCTCCAGCAACATCTCTCTAACTTATTTCTGCGCCAAGCCTGCACACAACATTGGCGACGAGGAAGAAGAAGTTCAAGAACTCTTGTGTGTATGGCTTGTGTTTCATCGGTGATTTCGGAACTCCGGCGTGCCTCCGGCTGCGGCGCCAGGTAGGACCCAAAACACCTCTAAATCCACCACTTTTGGCAATTTTGAGAATTCACAACTTTTCTCAGAGGAATGAGAGCTACAAATTATATACTGGTCTCGTCATAGTAGCAAAATTGGCAATACGAGGTTTATATTTTAAACGAAGTTCTCGTTTTTTTTCCGTTTGGCAGCTCATAGGTATGCAAGCAGAGGTTTGTACGCACCTGATACTTGCTGAGGGCCCGTTCATTTTGAAGTACCGCTGCCGATGGGGGAAAGCGCGAGACTGATGCTTCAGCTGTGAGCTGGTGGCCGACGAGTGGTGGGGACACTATCAAGCAACGCTTCAGTGTGCGAGCCAATATGTCTCGTACTTCCATCCGCCTGCAAATTTGAGCGAGGATATGATCCTCAGCAAAATTTGGTTTAAGTATGCCTCGCCCAAAACTGACTGTTGATCAAGACTTCTTTATTCTCAGTGTGGACCGTTTGATAACGGTGCAACTTACTAACCCTGCCGAGCAGTGCAGAAGCACTTGCGGTGGCCCCAAGAATCAACACCTTATCTTCCGAGTCCAAAATTAATTCGAATTCTGTTACACTGCGTATTCATGTGTCAAATCTTCGGGAAATTTAGCCAGTTCTGACCTGCTTTCTTGATTTCTGGCTGGGCCGAGGCCTTCCCGGGAATCCCCGGCTGTCTTGGAGGTCAAGGGTGCCTCTGCTATCGGAAGTCATCATTCAACAACAAGATTTGAAAAACAAAAACAAGTCCGCCAGCTTCAGTTAAAGCGGCAGGCAAACGGGCGCGGCCCACACTTCAGCAATGGCAACATTGCGCGGTGCTTGGGCGGTCGCCGCGCTTACACTTCTTTTTGTAGCCAGCGCGAGTGCTAAAATTGAAGGTGAGTGCAGTTTGCTGCAGCAGAATGTTGCTGTTGAGAAAGCGAAGCGAGAGCGTACGGGACAGGCCAAAGACTTGAATCGCCACTTTTCTGTTAGAACATGCATCAGCCAAATGGCAACAATCGCTTTCACGTTGTAGGTACTCCGTGCTACGACGTCGCAGCAGGTGTGAACGGGACATGTGCAGTTCACTGTTCCTGGGCGCAGGGCAGCGCCCAGGTGTGCGGCTACCTGAACACACAGCCCATCGTCTGCTGTCCGAGTCCTTCTGTACTCGAAGAGCCGGAAGAAGAAACGGATGACGCAACTGGGAGGAGCCTTGTTACCAGTAGGTATTACTACACTAATCACAAAATATGGACAATCGCTAATTCATGGAATAAGTGTCTGCAGAGTGTGACTTGACTTGCTGTCACAAAAATGAGTTCGGAAGCGTTTGACTGAAATATTACTTTATAGTCCGGAACCTGGATTCATATTTTGGAAGGCAGAAAATAGATAAATCGCCATCCACCTTAGACTTTTTTGAGGTTTTCTCAAAAATTTAGTTAATACTATTGTTAGATTTCGAACATACTAGTGACTGCAAGAAGAATGTTTCTGAGCTGAATGGATACTTTAATGCTTAATCCGCAAGGTGGAGTAATTGATTGATCTCTTGGAGTTAAAATTTCCTTGTGTGGCCAAAAGAAAATTGTTATTTAGTCAAAAACCCATCTCGAATAACTATCTAGGATAACACAAGTGTACCCGGCAAGACTTATTTTAAAAAAATATATTAATATTATTTTTTTAATAAGTTAAAAACAAGTCTTGCCGGGTAAATTTTGTATCACGAAAACAGAGAATATATTGCGCTCTCGCGTATGCCCAAGGGTCGACATGTAGTTAATCTCAGATCGGTGTCCCTCCGGTTTATGCAGTCGTGGTACACTTGCAAGTTGCAACTCTCAACTGTGAACTATATTTTAGGGCTGTCTTCCTCGCACATTTTTCGAAAATACGAGTTAGTCAACAACAAAACTCAAATTTTTTCATGTTGCGTTCATTTTAGTTCGACAGGAGACGAGAAACTAATTTTTGTTTAAACTGTGATTACAGGTCAAGGCTTGTCCCTCTTGCCTCTTACTAGTTGTGGTCGTAACCCGACAGCACTTATAACAAACGGTATCGAAGCGCAATTAGGAGACTTCCCATGGCTGGCATTGATCAAAATCTATTTAAGTAAGTAGTCCATCAATGCATGATAATACCTGTTAGCATGAAAAGGCCGAAAACTTTGAAGATCTGAAGCAGATGCAGGAACATTTATGAATACCGTTAGTGCAACTTTCACCGGGCAAATGGACGTGAGACCAGTTCAGTTATTTTTTTCAGGAGTCCGTTTTTAGTGTTTTTCATGCTTAGTTTTCACAAAATGGACATCAAAATTGCAGGTGAAAGATGATGAGATATTCAGAAAACAATACGAAATGTTCGGTGACCAGTCATGGCATTTATAACTGAGGTTACTCTACTCACAGATGAGTATCAGTTTGACGTAGGTCCATTCCTTTTCAGTCAAAACAACGCGAGTCCATTCGTTTTCGGACAAAACAACTTAAGACCAGTCTTTTTTCTGACAAAAGAGCTCACGAGTCACTGTGAAGTTTAAAACGTTACGTTAGACATGAGTGCTTTTGTCACAAAATATGTGAACGAACATATCATGTTTTGACAGAAAACGGATGGACTCGTGCTGTGTGCGAGTGGACCTAAGTTGTTTGGTAACGCTATAAATTCCGATTCCCATTCCGTGTAAAGTTTCGCCTGCACTCTGAGAATACAATCAAACCATTTCGACTAAAATGTGGACTCAAGTCCCTTTGTTCGATAACCAGTGAATGATTCAAAATATTTGCTCCTTTGCCTTTCCTGTTTTAGATCCACAGCAATACGTTGTGTGTGGCGGCTCCCTCATCAGCAGCAGATACGTTCTTACGGCTGCACACTGCTTTGACGAGGAGACGTGAGTACAAACGCATTTTCAGAGAATTTTTTTAAATCTCTTTTTTTTTTCAACTTTTCAACTGCATACCATTGCGTTATACTGTTTCATTAGGTCCGCAAGGCGCGTCAAGGTTTTGCTCGGCGAACACCGACGGAGTGTTGACCCTGACTGCGATGACAATGATGTGTGTGCAGAAAAGACCCAGGTGTTCACGGCCGAGAAGATAATAATACACCGCCAGTACTCCAAGAGCACATTTAAGAATGACATTGCACTTATTCGGTTGAAAAAAGAAGTCACTTTCACTAGTAAGTGCCTGGATGAAGGATCACTACTTTGAGAGGTTGACAAGCAAAACGGGAGTTGCCAAAAATTTTGGGCCTCTTTATACCACTCTTAAGTGTTGAGAATGAAGTTGCACGGTTCACCAATGAACCCAACAAACCAACTCCTTTTTTCCAAGTGACCTGTCTCGTAGCCAATTTATAAAATATATACCCAAAACCAATAAAAGAATCACGGTAAAAACGGTTCATGGTTTGCTCAGGAACTCCCTGGAAATCGCCTAAGTCTCTTCCATAGGCTTCCTGAAAAAACCAGGTGCCGTGTTTACCGTCCTCGGTTCGCAGCAAAATTGCACGCCGCAGGTCCAGGCCGAAAATCGCCAGTCGCGTTGCAGGCGTGGAGCTTGTCTCGTGCAGCGCAGTCTGGCGTGCATTCTACCCTTAACTTCGGGAAAGGAGGCGACATTTTGATGCCACAGCAACTAAACATGGCTTGTTCTTGATTTCAGTGTGGGTCAAACCAATATGTTTGCCTGTCAGCACCAAAACGGCTGACATGAACTTGAACGGTAAATATCTTTTGGCTGCTGGTTGGGGAACAACCACTTTCAGTAAGTATAATAAGCATTTTGCATGCTTAAAAAAAGATATTCGCGACGTTAGCTGCTGCAGCTGTTAGCTTAAGGGGAGGTTCTGGTGAAAATCTTGCTATTTTCCAAATGGATCCCACTGTCACAATTTGTTCGGAATATAAAATCTTTCTTCGAGGAGACTAAAATTTGACTTTTGAAAGCACAGGCCAGGCTCTGAACCCAGTCGAAGAGTCTTTTTGAGCCTATTTTGGCTGTATCTTAAACAATCTTCTTGCGCATACTATTTTGTCGTAAAAGCTTGACCTTGACATTTTTCACTTGTCGGATTCATTTTCAAAAGATTCCGGCATGCATAGCTCAAAATTTCCATTATGGTAATAATTGTAAGCTTTTTAAGCTGAAAAGTCCCTAAAATTCTTCTAATTTGTACATTTTTGGTCAATTATAGTGAAATGCTTGGTTTGAAAGCTTGTGAATAAAAATGTAATTAACATTTTGAGTTGAGCATGCCGGCCTCTTTTAAAAATGAATCGAAGAAGTGAAAAATGTCAAGGCCAACCTTTTACGACAAAGTAGTATGCGCAAGAAGATTTTTGAAGTTATAGCCTAAATAGGAGAGAAAGGCTCTGCGACTGGGTTCAATGCATAGAGTGTGCCTCTCCAATGAAAAATTTTAATAAATACTTGGTAAGACATCAAATTTTTAACAAATTTTAACAGCGGGACCAATTTAGGAGAAAATAGCATTTTCACCAGAATCTCCCCTTAAAGTTCGTTTAGACCTCTTATGTACAGAGCAAAATCAACTAAGACGGACCACTTCTTCCAGCGACCCTCTCCGATTTGCCTGATTTTTTGTAGGCGTAATTACTAACTAAAGGAGAGTCTAAAGCCAAAATGTTAGGTCCACCAAAAATTTATTGCCCGAGATATGGCCAACTTTAGTTTAACTTTTGGAGAAAAAACACGAATTTGGGTATTTTGGACTAGTTATACACTTATCATAGTAGAAGGCTAAAATTTGGTCCCCTGTAAGTGAAATAGGGTGGTCCGAAAAAACACTTTTTTCTCTGGTGACATTTTGTCACGTTCGTTTCTACGTGATGTCACCTTCCTGGAATGAAAGTGTCCGAGTGCTGAAACATCACACACCACGAACACACAACTCGTGGAAGCAAAAGAGTTGATTTTACTCAAAACACGGAATTTCGGCCGTACTTCTGGTCCCTGGGTATTGTAGTAGGGCCACATATGAAGCTCGGTATGCTGTTTAAAGTACATAAGGTGTCTTTTTCTTCCCGAGTGACCATCCGGACGCATCAGCAGCGCATCCGAGTCAGTTTTGCAAATTGCCTAATTTTACCTATAAATCCGAAACTTCCCCCTCAAAGTGGGAACCGAAGATATTGTCCGATCGGAAAAAAATTTTGCAGGTGTGTTTCTGATGTCAAGTGGCCACTTTTGCCCGGTGCCCGTTTCCGATCAGAGAAAAAAGTGTTTTTCGGACCACCCTGTGAAATTGGCCAAGGAACAAGAATATGACCTCAGATGGGACCTTCGACGAATACCTTTAGACTAAACCCCCCAAAACGCTGTAGACTCTCCTTTAGTTAGTTATTAAGCCTACAAAAGAATCAGGCAAATCGGGGAGGGTCGCTGGAAGAAGTGGTCCGTCTTGGTTGATTTTGCTGACAACTAGTTTAATCGGTGTGCACGGAGGAACGAGACAGGCCTCGCCTGACACCGAATTTCAGATTGTTCAACCGGCAAAAGTTGTCAAGTTGTATTGCTTCATTACCTGCCATGGATCATGACAAAAGAATTTTAATGCTTTCAGAGGGGTCCACCAGCGACGTCAAGCAATGGGTCGTATTGCCAGCGGTGTCACTTGATAGCTGCAGGAAGACGAATCCAAACGTCACCCCCAAACAACTGTGCGCAGGTGGTGGCTTCGAACACAAAGATACCTGCCAGGGTGACAGTGGTGGTCCTCTCATGGGAATCGTCGGAAGGAATAGGAAGAGATTGCTCGCTCTTGGAATTGTATCGTACGGGAAAGGGTGTGGTGACCCCGGCGTTCCGGGAGTCTACACGAGGGTAGGTCACTATATTCCCTGGATACTAGCCCACTTAGAGCGCTAGCCAAGCTCAAAACTCAAGTGTTGTTTTTTGTTTTACAATTAGTACCATTAAAATGACGAGGGGGAAACAACTTGAATTTTGGTGTAATTTTCCCTTGAAAGAACGTCGAAAGGTTGAGATAGCGTTGAAGTGACGTGAAATATAACCTAAATTTGAAATAACGGTGTAAAACAATTGTCTAAGTTGTTTGTCCTCTGATGTGTATCAACGGATGTGTATCAACGGAATTAATAAAATGGCAAAAACTGCAATTGCTTCACCAATACATTCGCATTTCTGTCACTGAGTATATACTAGACCTAACCTCAACTGAAGGTTAGGTTCCATTGAACATTAAACGGGTGTTGGTGTTGTTGTTGAACCACCATCCCTGCCAGTGGTCTAATCGAGACCTACAAATCGATACATCGTCTTGATTCCTGATGTTCTTCCCTGTCACTGATATATACCTGAACCTTGGAATAAATCTTTCTACTTTGATCTACACCTGGTTTACTGTGTGTTCTTGGCATCTCCTCTCCCGAATCGACATCAAAAGGTTATGGGCCCAGGTACCGTTTTCAAGTGCTCTGTGAGATAGTGATCTGTCTTAAATTGCCTTTCTTGCAAAAAGTGATTTGAGGGAATCCGCTGTAAAAATGTCGGACAAGCCAGATACTTACAATCGGACAAAACTTAAAAATGCCGCTACATATACCATGTGGTCTTTTCAACTTAAAATTCTATTTGAGGCCAAGGACCTCATGCGCAATGTGAATGGTGAACTCCCTATTGATGAGGTTGCACATGATCAGAGAGTTTTAAGGAGAGAGAATGATGCAAAAGCTAAATTCTACATAACTCAAACAACAAGCAAGGCAGTAAACCAGCATCTGATGAGTTGCTCTACATCCAAAGAAATGTTCGACAAGTTAAAGGACATTTATGAGAAAGACACCGATCACCAAAGGTGCCATCTACTTCAAGAGTTGTACTCTTAAAAGTGGAATAATAACAAGACTGCTTTGGAAAACGTCAGTGCAGTGCAACAGATTGCTTTTCAGTTAAACTCACTCGACCATGAGGTGAATGAAACCTCCATAGTAACCAAGTCACCAGCATGCTGCAGCATACATGCCCAAGCAGCATACAGCATTCTCGACTGCATGGTATTCTGTTCCCACTGCTGACAGGACCATTGATAATCTATGTTCTCGGCTTCAGACCGAAGAAGCAGAAATGATTGAGAATAAGGAAGAGTCAGTTGAAGTTGTCATTCAGGCCTCTCGGTCCAAATCTGTCAAAGACAGAATAACTTGTAACTCATGTTACAAGATGTGCCATGTGGCCCGTGACTGTAAGGCTGAAAAATGCCGACACTGTAAGAAGGCAAATCATAAGTCTGACAACTGTCGTTACAAACCCACACCATGTCACTTCTGTGGAAGAATCAATCACAAGGAAGACGATTGCCGCTACACGGTTAGCTCGTGTTTTGCACTTTTGCAAGGCTCGACATGATACTGAAACGCATGCGAACGTTTGCATCTCAGCCGCAAAGCTCGCCATGCAACCGAGAGAACTGCAAGGCAATGCTTGCGTCGTGCCTTGCAGATCCGCACCCAACACCTTGCAAAGGTGCAAGGACCGCTTTGCCGGTCCCGCAAGGAATGGAGTGCGGTCTGCCCGGGTCTGCCTTGCAAAAGTGCAAGGCAGCCCTCACACTCGCACAAGAAAAATGCAAGGGACACCTTGCGATCCGGGTTGCAATACTGCAAGGCAGCCCTTGCACTTCCATTGCAAGGCACGCTTCCCGATGCGCCTCTTCCTCCTCATCTTCTTCTCTTCATGGAGCATGCCCCAAAGGGCTGATGCGCAACTGGGTGTGTGGAATCGAACCCCGGTCCTGTAGCTTCGTAGCGCGGACGCTTACCCCGAGACTACAGGACTTGTCGAGGTTCCGACGGCGCCGTACTCCACATGGCCCGAGCGCGCCGGAGGGGACAGCTGCTGCGTGCGATGGTGGGGGTAGCCTTGCAGTCAAGACGCAATGGTCTGCTTGCACTGTTGCAGGGCAAGCCCGAGGGCAAGCCGCAGGCCGAGGCATGCGGAATCGCAAAGCATCCTTTGCATTACCGCAAGGGACGGCCTGCATCGTCGAAGTGCGGATGGGCTTGCAATTCTGCAAGGCCTTCCATGCGACTGCGCAGGGCAAACCTTGCGTTTTGCACCGTTCTGCCTTGCAGAATCGCAAGGCGGGAGACAGTGCAATGAATGCCTTGCGTTTCTGCAAGTTTTTACTTGCAATTATAGGAAACGCATACACCACGCTAGGTGTTCCTTGCGAAAATGTCATTTGCAAATCGAAATGCAAGCCTTGCCTTGCATTTTGCCTTGCACTTGGCCGAATCGCAAAAGGCGGGACCACAGTGTATAATCCTAAGAATAGGTTTATAGTAGGCAGAATAAACGCAAAGACAGAAATGACAGAAATGAAGCTAGCATTTCTAACTTTAAATAGGGGTCATTCCATGCCAAGTCAATCACAGCTAGATCCTAAGAGATTTGGCACGAGTTTGCTATGTGCGTGGTACTCCTCTTCACTGTCAACTCTGTCTAGATTAGCAGGAGTTGATCAGTCAAAAGCACTGTCACAACTCAAAAGCTTTGCTTCAATTTATAATTCACTGACGTCTACTAACGGGCACAGTGGTAAGGGAGGGTGGGGCACCCGACATTCCCGTAAGGCGCCATGTTAAATTTAACCCTTCATAACTTTTTTCCTAAAGGATTAAAAAAATGCGTCTGCGGGTCAAAACGTTTCTTTTGGCCTTAACTTTCGATGTGCAAAGCGGCATTGCATGCGGAAAAAGTGCAGGGTCCGGCCTTTTAGTTGGACTAACACCGGCCACTACTAGGCCTCAAGCCGTCCGACCTTTGTTGAGCAGCAAAGTGGAGAATTTTCAGATGCAGAAGACTTACCGGAGAACTTAAGTGATGTGGCTCGACGTTGGCGTGAGTGCATACTACGGGACACGCGGTCGATATGCCATTGTCAGCTGTGGGACTTTTTCAGTGTGTGACACGTGCATCCGACATGGAATGAACACTTGCCCCACATTGCCGCAACCAGCCTGCAACTGGTTCAGGGTCGATATGTTATCATTACTTTATTGCATATACTTTCATTTGAAGACATACTGTTTTTTGACTTAAGTGTTTATGTTTCCATCATGAGTAGATGAAAGTACTGTCATTTAAACTTTTCTTTCTTGTGTGTGCAGATTGTAAAGACTTCAAATCAATTATACAATTCTCAAACTTTTAGCTGCTGGTCTGATTTAGTGGCACTTGCAATTTATGCATGGTTTATCAGACAGGAAATGCAGACCTGGCCCCACTGCCGCAATCAACCTGCATCCTGGTTCAGGGCCGATATATGATGACAATTCAATTGAATCAAGTATTTGATTCAAATGACTCAAATGTACTTAACAAATATACCCATAAGGTCTTCAGCCTCTGGAAGGATGCTTTGAAGATTCTGCTAAATCTCCCTCCCCAACATACATGCCGCAATTCTTTTAAAAAGTTAGACCTCCTCACTGTCCCGTCCCATCTTTTTATTTTTATCACACTACCCTCCATGTTAACAACTTTGGCAGTTCTTGCAGTTCATTCCTCAAATTTGCTTACATGTTTGCTTTTCTATAAAATTGTCTACTGCCCCTCCTCCGATGACGATGAAGAAAGCCAAGGGAGAAGTTCCTTTAAGGCAAAGTCACAGGGAGAGGTGATCCCAGAAACACCTCCACACAACAGGCGCGCTTGTAAACCTAGTGCTGTCCCTCTGACCTTAAACTCAACAATGCATTTCGTAATTATCAGACCGGAGGTTACACGGTCAGAAAAATGTCCGTTATTTTACGAATAAAAATCCGATTAAGTGTTATACGTTACCACGAATCTCATTTACGGACGCCAGGAGGTCCCAGGCAGGTCCCAGAGATAAGTCCCCGATTGGTCGCTGGAGGTCACACGCCGGTCCCTTTTGCGTCCCTGCTAGGTCCCGGATGGGTCCTCGTGGGGTCCCACCGCGTCCCTAGAGGTCCCCACCAGGTCCCTAATGGTCCTTCAGGGTCCCGATTAGGTCCTGCAGGGTCCCAAACGGGTCCCCCAGGGTCCCAAACGGGTCCCCCAGGGTCGCGAATAGGTCCCAAATGGGTCACCCAGGGTCCCCCCAGGTCTCGAATGGGTCCCCCAGGGTCCCGAATGGGTCCCCTAGAGTCCCTAATAGGTCCTCCAGGGTCCCGAATGGGTCCCCCAGGGTCCCGAGTAGGTCCCCCAGGGTCCCGAATGGGTCCCCTAGGGTCCGGAAGGCGTCCCCCAGGGTCCCAAACGGGTCCCCCAGGGTCCAAAATGGGTCCCCTAGGGTCCAAAATGGGTCCCCCAGGGTCCCGAATGGGTCCCCCAGCGTCCCGAATGGGTCCCCCAGCGTCCCAAATGGGTCCCCAAGGGTCCCTGGTGGGTCCCTCAGGAACCCAAATGGGTCCCCTAGGGTCCCAAATGGGTCCCCTAGGGTCCCCTAGGGTCCCTATGAGTCCCCTAGGGTCCCTATGGGTCCCCTAGGGTCCCTATGGGTCCCTATGGGTCCCCAGGGTCCCTATGGGTTTGAGACCCTGGGAGACCCATTTGGGACCTTTGGACAACGAATGGGGCCTTGGGGGACCCATTTGAACCTTTGGAGACCCATTTGGGCCCCTGGGTGGGGGACCCATCCGGGTCCCTCGGGGACCCATTGGGGACCCTCGGGGACCCATTAGGGACTCTCGGGGACCCATTTGGGACCCTCGGGGACCCATTTGGGACCCTCGGGGACCCATTGGGACCCTAGGGGACCTATTCGGGACCCTTGGAGACCTATCCGGGACCCTTGGGGACCCATCCGGGACCCTTGGGGACCCATCCGGGACCCTTGGGGACCCATCCGGGACCCTTGGGGACCCATCCGGGACCCTTGGGGACCCATCCGGGACCCTTGGGGACCCATCCGGGACCCTTGGGGACCCATCCGGGACCCTTGGGGACCCATCCGGGACCTTGGGGACCCATTTGGGACCCTGGGGGACCCATCCGGACCCTTGGGGACCCATCCGGGACCCTCGGGGACCCATCCGGGACCCTTGGGGACCCATTCGGTACCCTGGGGAACCCGTTGGTGACCCTGGGGAACCCGTTGGTGACCCGTTGAGGACCCATGGGGGACCCATTGGGGACCCGTTAGGGACCCATGGGGGACCCGTTGGGGACCCGTTCTGGACCTTGGGGGACCCGTTGGGGACCTTGGGCGACCCGTTGCGGACAGGCCCGGACTGGCCAGGGCATTTGGGCAGAAAAATATGCCGGGGCCCCGGCGTTGTCGGGGCCCCCCAACTTACAGTTGCGAGGCCTCTCTGGCCGCTGGGTCTCAAATCGACCCGAAATACCTTTAATTCGTAGTGCTGCCCCCTTACAAACTGGCAGGAATTGCATTTTGAACACACAATAGGCCTTGGCTTTTAGCTCGCTTCGCTCGCATAGTAATGCGGAATCGCGTGAAACGAATCTATCATCAGGTCGATGAGTTCCGAGCAGGTCCAGGTCAGTTCCTGAAAAACTTGCAACAATGTTTTAGTTTGCTGTGAACCAGCTTACCAAAAGATATGCATGTTTTCGTTTCGTCATTTGGGAGAAAATTTAAATTGCATTAGAAAAATTTTAAAGCTCGCTTCGCTCGCAGTTTCCGCTGCCAATGTTTTGCTGCTAGCATAAGAAACTAACCCTGGGTAATTATATCATTTCTACAATTTCAGAAGTCAGGGAAAATCACAAGGGTTGTCGTAACATATTTATCTAGAGGATTTCGACTTGCGAGGAGGGGGGAGCAGGGGCCCTTTTGACAATTTTCTGCCGGGGCCCTCTATGAGCCAGTCCGGCCCTGGTTGCGGACCCTGGGGGATCCGTGTGGGGACCTATCAGGGACGCAGCGAGACCTCGTTGGGACCTGTTTAGGAATTGAGTAAAGACACGCCATTTAATTTTAAAACTCTTACAATACTTACTTGATCTCCCAACTCGAGAAAGTGTTACGACTAGGTCACCATCTTGTCCAATATAATTTCCAACCGTCGTCGAAACCGGGATGTAAGTCTGTGAAAACGACACTAGCGCCATCTAGCGGATAACTAGTTATCGAGGACTTGGCGGGGACCGATTGGGACCTAAGGGGACCTGGCTGGTACCGATTGGGACCTAAGGGGACCCAGCGGGGATCTTTCAGGGACCCAGCGAGACCTAATGGAGACGTGACGGAATCTAGTGTAACTTTCTGGGACCAAGTTAGGACTGACTCAGGGACCACTCGCGACCGTGTGGGACCCACAAGGACTCAGTGAGACCCACCGGAGACGCGACGGGACCATGTGTAACTCGCTGGAACCCAGTCGGGACCGACTCAGGGACCACTCGCGAGGGACTCAGCGAGACCCAGCGTGACCCACCGGGGACGCGACGGGACCGAGTGGAACTCGCTGGGACCCAGTTGGGACTGACTCTGGGACCACTTGCGACCGGGTGGGACCCCCAGGGACTCAGCGAGACCCAGCGCGACCCACCGGGGACGCGACGGGACCGAGTGGAACTCGCTGGGACCCAGTTGGGACTGACTCTGGGACCACTTGCGACTGGGTGGGACCCACAGGGACTCAGCGAGACTCAGCGCGACCCACCGGGGACGCGACGGGACCGAATGGAACTCGCTGGGACCCAGTTTGGACTGACTCCGGGACCACTCGCGACCGTGTAGGACCCACAGTAGTGGCCGTGGTACACGCCAAACACCATAAGAATCGCGCATTTTGTGAAAGAAGCATGAAATTTTGCACACACGTTCTGAAAGGCCTAATGAACGATTTTGTCCGTGTTCTTTTTGATTTTGACGGCCCGTTCAACCTGGGCCGTTCAATTTGTACAAATTGAACATTATTTTTTAAATGCGTGTTATTGGAGCTATTTAATCATGCGAGGCGACTTTTCCGCACAAGTCGATGGTGCTGAACACGAATCAAGGCTCAGACAGGTGATTCGAACACTTTTGAACACTCTTTTGAACATTTTCGTACATTTCAGTGCATTTTCTTAAAACGCTTCTGGAACGCCGCAAACGTGCTACGAAGCCATTGCATTTCATCTGGAACCTTTCTCCACACCTTACCTGACGTGCATGAACACGCAGGGAACGTTTGGGAGCCCGTTCCGAACGCTGTTTGGAACACTAAGTTGTACAAAATTCAGGTTTGTCGAAATAAATCGTGCTGCACGTCGTTTCAATGGGAAACGGGCATGCTGATGACGAATCTGGACTCGGAAATAGTGTTCGTGTACTCCGGAACGAGCCGCCAACTGTTCTGAACATCGGCTGGAACACCGAATGGAACAGAACGAAGATTTGTCGTAGAGAAGCGTTCTGCGCGGCGATTCAATGTGAAACGGTCACGCTGATGTCGAATTTGGACTCGGAAATAGTGTTCGTGTACGCTGGAACGAACTGCAAACTGTTCCGAACACCGGCTGGAAAACCGAGTGGAACAAAACGAAGATTTGTCGCAGATAAGCGTTCTGCGCGGCGATTCAATGGGACACGGTCTCGCTGATGACGAATCCAAGCACCATGTTTCTCTACCCTGGACGGATGATGCGTTAAGTCGTCTCTCCTCCCTAAGCTGATGCATCTAGCTCCCAATGCTACTCCACCGGGTACTTTTGGCGGAATTGTTTTTGACAGTGCTGCCATTGTCAATTTTTCCTCCCCGAGACGTTAAGAGAGTACGGGGACGAGGTACTCGGCTACATGACAAGTTGAGCTGAATGCAGGTCGACCAGAAGTTGCTTTGCATGCTTTGAATGCAGCACTAAAGTTAGTACGAGAGAAAATAGGGGGTTGTGGCATTAAAGGGCAGGTGCTTCCCGGGGTATCCTTAAAGTTTGGTGATACAAGATCTAGTTTAATGTTCGCTATTTCCGTTACTTCTTCATAATGTCTCTTTCCAAAGCCACTCTCCCTACAAATTAGCAAACGTTCCTTCACCATTTCAAAAACAAGGAGGAACTTTTCGCCCCTCTGGCGTCCCTCCTTGTCCAGCACAACTCGACAGGAACAAAGTTGAAAGTCCGCACTTATGTCGGAGATGTGATAAAGCAATGCATATGTCGCGTCTCTTCCCATTGGCACTTCGTGCGCAGCCATGGAGGAGGCCGATGGAAGAATAATTGTACTCGTTTTGGAAATCATAATGAGAAGTATTAAGGACGTGCTCATACGTATGGTAGACACAGACATCCTGGGTCTGGCAGTGTCATTTCACCACAAAATGAGTGAGCAAGGGCTCGAGACATTGTGTCTAAAACTTGGCACCGGAGCCAATGTAAAGTTCTATCCGGCCCATCACTGAGAATGAAAGAGTCACCACCATCGCCCTTTCATTGGGTAACGCACGCACCGTTGCCCAAATTTGGGTGACGAGCCCGCGGTGACCAAATTTTGGGCAGTCATAAAATCGTCGCCCAAATTTGGGTAACGCCATCGGCGACGCCGTAAGGTCCCCGATGACGCTCTTCCGGGGCCACCACGATGACCCAATGTGGCGTTGAGGCCTCCGGTCATCGTGGTGGCCCCGGAAGGACGCCATCAGGAACCTCACAGCGTCGCCGACGGCGTTACCCAAATTTGGGCGACCAAACGCCTGTTACCAAATTTCGGGTGATGAATTTTTCGTCACCAAAATTTGGGCAACGAAGTTGCATCACCCATTTTAAGGGCGATGGTGGTGACCAATTCATTCTCAGTGATGACATAGCAAAGGCACTTGACGAGGAAAAAGTCCGTTGTATTGCGCGGCTTCCATGTTTTCACAGGTTGTGACGAAGTGTCATATATAGCAATGAAGGGCAAACGCACCACATGGAACGCTTGGAATGCTTTCAATGATGTAACGAAGGCATTCTTTGCGAAATCGCACCTAATGGGGTGTCTGGATAATGACGTGCTCCACCTCCTAGAGAAATTCGTTGTGCGCCTCTACGATGTCAAAACCAAGGAGTCCCAACCCATGTTCGGAACAGTTAGCAGCTCCTGCGGACTGAGGGCCCCCAGCGTTGCCCATCAACCTCACTAAGAAACATTGAAAGGCTCATGCTTGACAAAGCCCTTTGTTGAACGTCCATCCTTCAACCTTAAACTAGAGTACAAGAACACTTTCCGAGTCCAAATTCAACATCAGCGTGCTCGTGTCCCATTGAATCGCCAGGCAGCACGCTTCTCTACGACAAATCTTCGTTTTGTTCCACTCGGTGTTCCAGCCGGTGTTCGGAACAGTTTGCAGTTCGTTCCAGCGTACACGAACACTATTTCCGAGTCCAAATTCGACATCAGCGTGACCGTTTCACATTGAATCGCCGCGCAGAACGCTTCTCTACGACAAATCTTCGTTCTGTTCCATTCGGTGTTCCAGCCGATGTTCAGAACAGTTGGCGGCTCGTTCCGGAGTACACGAACACTATTTCCGAGTCCAGATTCGTCATCAGCATGCCCG